GGGGAGGAGGGCGAAGAGAGAGGGAGAGAGGGGGGGAGGAAGAAGAGGAGGAGAAGGCGAGGAGGGGAGGGGAAAGGACAGCGTGGCACTCCTGAAGGTTATTTGGATCTCTGTATTTGGCCAAATGATTAGCCCTATCCTGGGAGGGAGATAAATCTGACAGGGCGCTGTTTGGCAGCCAGGTAGAAGGGGAGGGCAGGAAGGCTCAGAGCTCACAGCTATTTCCTCCTCATGGACTGATCCAGAGCTACACAACACGCTCAGTCAAAGCCGAACAATTCCTGACACAAATGTCCAGTTGGATCAACAACTACCTGAAATTCCTGCATATTAGTTTACCTCCATTACATCAGCTGTTTTGGTGATGCTGGAAATTCATCCATCAATTAACGCCCCAATTATTCTGTACCAGTTTGCATTTGAGAAAATAGGGAAAATGTCCAACACAGCTTCCCAGAGCCTCCGTAAAATGCTTGTTTTATTCAAACAAAATGATCAGAATATTAAATTAGCAACTGTTTTAATTGTTAGAAGCATTTTTCTAAGCAAAAACACCAACATTAAATGATTCCAGCTTCTCAAACAAAAATGAGTTTCCGTTCCTCGTAAGTTTCTTCTGATAATAAACTGAAACTGAATTTTTTTTTTTTTTTAAATAAGAAAAAAACATGAATTTCAAAATATTCAAACATATTGCTTGACATTTTTGATTAGACTTAATCAGGGGTGTCGAACTCCGGTCCTCGAGGGCCGCAATCCTGCAAGTTTTAGATGTTTCCCTCTTCCAACACACCTGATTCAAATGATCAGCTCATCATCAAGCTCTGCAGAAGCCTGATAATGATCCTGATCATTTGTATCAGATGTGTTGGAAGAGGGAAACATCTAAAACTTGCAGGATTGCGGCCCTCGAGGACCGGAGTTCGACACCCCTGGACTAAATCATTAACTGAGGAAGTAATCAAGAGATTCCTCAGCAATGACAATACCTATCAGTCCAAAAAGGCTTTTAGTTTGTCTTTTAAAAAACTAAATCGTTACTGTTCCTCTCTCACTAATTATTTCAGCTCCAACTAGAAAAAAGAGCAGACAAGTGATCCTTTGAAATACTAATAAAGAGACAATCTTGCAACCACATCACATAAACTTTAAAGTTCATGATGTAATTCTCACAGAAGTAGCATTTATTTATCTTTTCAGCTGATCAGATATGAAATAGTCGAGGCAAAACATCAAGGCCACAGTCCAGGATGAGCCACCACACAACTGTACACGATAGGCAGAGGACATGTCTAAAAATGTTTTACAAGCAACATGCTGTACACAAACTCCCCTGCATGTCTAAAAGATACAACACACCCACACAATGGATCTGGCTTTGGTTGTGCCAACCGGGCACCAAATGTTTAGACTGGCTCTTTCACAATATGTTGAATCAAACCTGAGTCAAGGCCGGGAAATCACTGTCCAGCTCGCCTCCTCCCTCAGCTCTGTGTAATCACATGTACTGATAAACTGTTTTACGGGAGCGCTAATCTTTAAAACAAGATAATTTCCTTGTTTTATTTGCTTTTCCTCTAATGAAATATTCAATCCATTTTCACCTCATTGCCTCAAAAATACTCCAAATAATGCCAAAGAATGGGATCCATGTGTTTGAAAAACCACAGACAAAGATGACACATTTCAAAGATAGTTTATCCTCCAGTGTTTCAAGTTTTTTAGAAACCTACAAAATCAAATTGTTTAAGGTCTATGTTTGACCTGTTTCACAATACAAACCCAACAGAGACCAAATTTTAGATGCACGACAGACTCTTATATTGTCACATTTTATTTTTCAATTTAATTTTTTTCATGCCTTTTTATTGTCCTACATATTAAAAAATATTCATTTAAATTGTAAAACCCTAAAAAAGGAAAATCACAGTGTTTAAAAAAAAAACAAAAAACGTAAAACTCTGCAATCTGTGACACGGTATTGCAAGCTGCTTCCTTTTCATTGGTCACAAACCCGCAAAAAGTTGAGAACCACTGAATTAGTTAGTGGTTTCTCAACACCAAACGTGGGACCACCCGCTGAGAGGGCTGTTATCTTGCAATGGAGCATAGCGACTCACAGCAGGGGGGCTGACGTGACCCTCACAGGAACAGGACAGGTGAAAGTCATGAACAAATACAGGTACCAGGCGAGATGTGGGGGTCTTTAGGTTTGTGATGCAGGTGGTGTCAGCGGTGTGTTACACTAAGAGGAGGGCATTGATGTTGTACTAGTGCTGCTCTTCTCCCATGCCCTTTACAAATGAGAAATAATAAACAATACAATCTTCATCTTTTAACTTCCTAAAAAGGAAATGAACCTTTTTTTTTCTCTAGAAGGTAAAATTGCTGCAGTTTTTTTTTTTTTTTGGTAATACTTTCATGTACATGCACCGTTATTCAAGATGTCTGCAAATAAGTTGTACAAAAACCTGTTAATCCATTTTGCTAGTACTCAAATGAAAACACCACTATAAAGAACAAAGAGATGACAAGGACTTTACTTTAGTCCACTAAGGCAACACCAGACAGAGTTAGTTAATTAGTAGAAAACTAAAGCTTGATTTCACATAAGTGAACACACCTAAATGTGCAACAAGTGCATCTGAGGTCAGCACAAGATAAAGAAAAAGCGAAAACAACTCCTGCAAAATGTGCCGTTACATTCAGTTACAGCATTTGAACCTCGTAAATCAGCCAATCAGAGGATCACAAAAACTAGTTTGTCGGTCAGTTAAATTAAGAGTAACCTCTGATAACATGCTCAGGGCTCCTGACTAACTTTTCCACTGGTAGAACTGGTGCTACCGACTTCCTCAGTTGGTCAACCTAAGTATGCATTTATGTTAAGTACTTTAATCTGACAGTAAATTAATTGTGTCACCAGTCTGTTTCCAGGTAGGCATCAGGTTGTCTGATATCACTCCTATAAAGTAGACACAGGTTAAACCCCTCACTTGCTCTAAAATTTACCAATGTCCCCTAAACGTGTCACTGGCAGGCTAAGGTACATGCTAGCAATAGGCAGCTGCAGTTCTCGCCAAGAGATGCGAGACCAAAAATCCATTTGAAAAGAGTCAAAATAGGGTTCTGATCAGATTTTCCCAAACTGAAAGCAAGAGATTTTTTTCTGCATGGGCCGTTTTCTACACGTGAACTTTTTATTTTATTTTTTTAAAGTTATTTTTTTTGGCCTTTTTGCCTTTGTTTGATAGGACAGTAGAGAGAGACAGGAAAGTGGGGAGAAGAATGGGGGAGGGACCTGCAGCAAATGGCCATGGGCTGGATTCAAACCCACAACCGCTGTGTCGGGGGGTATAGCCCCAGTACATGGATCACCAGCTCTGCCAGTTGAGCTATAGCGGCGGCCCTATACGTGAACTTTTGAGCGCATTTAAAATGTCTATGATACAGTCGATCATAATCCCTGTTAATATCCGTTTGAATCTGCAGTCCTAGCACTACATTCGCCATCCTAACTGAATGTAGTGGGTTGCTTTTTCGTTTTAACTGACTCAGTCGGTGTCTCTCTGCCTGCACCTGCATTCTTATCATCAATCGTGTGAAATGGATTGTGTCACACATCAGGCGCGGTCAGAATTACTGAGCCAAGAAAATGTAGTATTTTCGACCACCGTAACTAACAACGTAGCTACCTGCGCCGACTCCAGTGTCTCCAAAACAACCTAATAATAACCATACACTCATACGCGTGAAATTTTGACTCACTTTCTCAAAACAATGGTCTCATAAAGAAACTGTTTTGGTCACAGTATGGAGACTAATGCAAAAAGCCATACAGGCTATAAAACAACTCACAGCCCCCACAAAAATAAATATAGAAAGTTCCCATATTGATCACCATCTGGACTTCTAACATTTAGTCTTTCATAATCCCTTAAACAACATCAATATAGCAATTATGGACAGTCCAAAAGTCAATGAATTAAATCATAAAATGAATGTGTTATCTTAGATTAAAAACAGGAAACGTAATGTCAACAGTGACTTCCAATATTGCTGCAATAAAAAGAAAAGAGCACTGCCAGACTTTTCAAACTGAACTAACAATCTCATTCACATCCCTTCATCAAACTGCGATTTGCATTATTTACTCTTGCACTAATCTCGACATGTTCCACTCATCAAAGCAAATGCCATACAGTCTTACAGTATTTGCTAACCAAACACCAGCATGTAGGATCCCCCTATTACATGCAAATTCATCTGTTAATTAGGAACAGGGTGCCAACTTTTTGTGGTGAAAAATGTGCAGAGCAACTGCAATTTTTGGTTTATTGTCCTTCCTGAAGTGCTATAAAACAAACACGGCTCACAGGACAAAGATGTTTAAAAAGTCGGTGAATCCCCATTAATGCTTACTTAAGTATTCTTCTCTCTGTCAGGCCGCTTTGTGCTGCCTCTGCCCTCTAATCTCCACTTATCTCACTCTCAGTGTGCACTTACATGCAGTCTTTACAAAGTTCCACAAACACTTTACTGAACATATTAGGCAATACACACAATCTGATTTACCCACATTTAAAGATAATGAGAAAGGCAGAAAATCCGTCAGCAGCCATGCTCAGCTCAGATTCCCATCTGAGTTTGGTGAAGCAGAGTGCCAGAAATCTACTGATCAAATCTTCTTCATCTTTAATCACGATGAAGGGAAACAGAGCTGCCACTGTATGACTCTCTGTGTTTGTAGTTTTGTAGCTCAGTCATGTAAATTATCAGCTTGGACGCTGATGCAACACTTGCACCGGGACCTACATTCACTGTACTGCATTTGAAGTAAAGTTAGACGTAAAAAGTAAGTATAGTAAAAGTAAAAAAGAAATTTTATGGCACTCTTGACTTGAGTGCAAGCCTCCCTTCAATGTACTGTTGATAAAGTCTGGGTAAAACTTTATGGGGCCTGAGAGGTGTGTGTCTGAGAGTTTTTGTGTGTCACTCACAGGCTGCCATGGTCTCAGAGCAGCTGTTGTTGTTGTTGTTCTCGTCCAGGCTGAAGAAGGGCGGCACACAGGTGGTGGAGGCCAGGCCCTGAGTCAGGTAGGTGGCTGCTGGGTAGTAGGAGTGCATGCGGTACTGAGACGACACGTTGTGGCTGGACAGGCGGCCATCACCGTGCTTCAGGCAAGAAAACACACAAACATCCAATTTCATATAAAAGGGAAACACAATTGTCTTTCTGTACTGGGTTTTAACAGTTAACATCTAAACCATCAGACTCCCAGAGATCTCAGGTATAATAAGCCACAGTCACAAGACCCTCTTAAATCTACCAAAATCGGCATTCTTGGTAAGTTCTGGTGACTCTGCATATGTTTGAAAACACAAAAGTAAAAATAGAGAAAATAGAAAAATAGAGGAAAATAGAGAAAAAAGCTCGTCATGATTTCCAAAAGCCCAATTTCACATCATCAAATGTCTTGTTTTGACTGAGCCACATCCCAAAATACAGAGATATTAAATTCAGTTTCAAACTAGTTTCAAACATCAAACATATTTTGTCATTTTTGCTTGAAAAAGGAATAAAGTTTCTGTAAATAGTTGCAGCTCTAAAGTAGAAAACTTTATATATGATGTCAAATTCCCTTAATTGACTTAAAATGCTGTGGAAAAATGTTTTGTGTTTGTTTTGTGGGGTTTCTTTGGCCATAAGGGGATGCTCGTGGGTACGAGAAACTAGGGCTGCTTGATTATGTCCAAATGAGAACTATTTCTAGGTTTTTAGGGACAAAAAACTTTTTAAAGCACTTTAATGTTTAATAGAACACTGCTGTCACTTCCACGTTGGGCTACATTCATGCTAATATACAAATCTTTGCATCAAAAAAAGAACTAGTCCCTTATTCAAAGTACAACTCTGAGAAGCAAAACATAAATAAAGTTGCAACGGAACTTTTTACCCAAAATTAAATAAACAGAGCTTCTTTCAGTCTCAGTCTATGCAGTTTGTTAATGCACTGTGTAGCGTCGCTGTTATGGATAGCTGAATTGATGCTGGAAAAGGATGGGGGTTCAATGAGGCAATGTTAACGACACTATTCTTCTTCTTGGCTTAAGGGTGTTAATTCTGCTGCAGTTTGTTGTGTTTTTCAGGTGGTCGAACAAGTTATTTGTGTTCATTTGAACACAGACACAAGTCTTATGTACTCTTTGCGTATGATTTGTTCTTGCTTAACATCATATACCCATGTATCTAAAATTCCTGATCCATAGTTTGGAAGAAATTAGCTCCTCACTTCCTGCTACAGACATTTGACTTTGTTGTGACCGTCTCCATCATCCAGGAAATTTCGCTACAAGTGCTTGATTTAATATGCTGCTCAGAGCACTGATTTTTAACCTCAATAACGCTTTCAAAATCATGACAGAGATTAATTTTCAATCATTGCTGCAGCCCTAAAAGAAATTGCAAAAACAATCTTTGTAGAGAAGGACACTATGCAAAGCTAAACAAGCGAGCAACACCAGTTCACAAGCATTTCTAACACAATTTCTGGAGCAAAAACTCTCAATAGTGTGGCTTTAAAAGGTCGTTGCTTCTGTCTATGAGCCATGGGGTACAAAAAGAATTCTCTGCAGGAACCACAATGCAAAATGACCAACAAAATAACCCGACTTTACCTTATTGTGTATTTGATCATAATCTTAAGACCTTAGACTTAATCTTAACTAAAGCTTTGAAATAAAATACTGTTTATTTTCCTTTATGACCAAATCACATAAAAGCCCCTCTTGTAAGATTTAAACCTTTGTTTACACCGGCAATATGACTTTACTCCATTTATTTAAAGAATATCCCACCGGCACCAGTGAATATGTCTGACTTTGTTATGAACTCCTTTCTTTTTCTGCATTTGACATTTTCAAATACAATATAAACACCATTGTTCTCTGACCCCTCTCACATTTTTTGAATGTGCAGTCTTTCAAATCATACATCAGATATTCACAGGCAACACTTTTAAAAACCTAAACTGACAGGAAGAAATATGGACATAAAGTGATATGTGACAGAAAATTAGTGGTGTTTGATTTTCCAGGTCCGTGGCTTGTTCTAAAAATGGGCTGCAACACAGAGAGCCGGCTTTCTCCAGTCCTCTGAAAACTTTAAAACGAGCTGTCTACTCAGCAGCAAGGCCGCCTCACTGAGGGTTTTCAATTTCATTTTTATGGAATTTGATTTCTGTCAGCCTGTAATATGTCACCCGTATTGTCCACACCATCAGTTCTGCGACAGCTTTATAAACTGTTATTTAAGCTACACTCAGCTCTTGTATTAGGCCGTGAAAAATACAATAGAGATTGGAGTGGAGTCTTGAAAGTGCACTGAGCTTATGGTTCCCAGGACAGACACAGCACCAAACAAAACTGTCTCAGTGAAAGTTGCTCACGAAAGGCAAGTTTTTTCATGCTCACAGAGACGTTTACATCCAGCAGTCACAGGCAGATCCACACTGAGTAAAACTTGATTTATAGTTTTGCGGTGAATCTATGCTGTAGTCTGACGTACACCTCCCCTGAAATGCAACTACATGTTGTGAAGACGCAAACTCCAGCAACTGCGATTGGTTCACTTTGTCATAATCTGCTGTGCAAACATAGTATATTGATTTGTGCAAAGATAATGCTTCTGTGAGAGAAAATGTACATAATACGTAGCACATAACACAAACACAAGAGCCAGCATTTTGCTAACGTAGCTGTATTCTGTTTCCTGTTTTTATAGGTCTGGCAATCTATGTAAAGACTCTGTGGCATAGAAACCCCTCCACTAACTAGCGTTGTGGCCAGAGACACTGCAGCACAAATAGAAAATTCTCACTACAGCATAGGCCAATTGCAAAGTTCTCATAGCCTCAGCAGATTTAGGTTCAAATTAATAATCAAGCTTAAACTGGCAATATGACAATAAAAAACTGTCTACAGTGGATACTAGTGGAGTGAACACAATTTAAACTAGTTTGTGACTCCAGTAAAAGCTGCATGCACGCATCAGTTCAACAACAACAACTTGCCGTCCAAACACATTTTTTGTTGTGTCATCTAAGGAGGGAATCGACAATGTGCCACTTTGTAGAAAACTGCTGTGGATATCAGGTTAGTTCAGCAGCTCTTTTGAATGTCTGCATCTAATCCAAAGTAACGTACTGTACTGGATTTGAGCAGAGGCATTCAGTGAAAGATCCACCCATCCATTATCTATACACCGCGGGGATGCTGGAGCCTATCCCAGCCGACTTAGGGCAAAGGCAGGGGACACCCTGGACAGGTCGCCAGTCTATCACAGGGCTCAGTGAAAGATGACACATTCAATATGATATTTTTGACTTAGCATGCCAAATAATGTACTTTATACATCTGTGTGCCTGCTTTTATTCTTGAACCCATTTGTTTTTACTTTTCTCTCCATATAAACCAGCCTCCTCACAGCAGTTGGTTCTATCAATCACTTTGTTTGGCACTAAGGTCTTTACAGTGTATTGTTGAGATCTAGGATGTGATGTGTGTCAACTGTATAACCTAATGCTATAGCTAGGTTGAGGTTTTTAGGTTTATGGATAATGAAAGTGAGAAATCAAAGGTAGAGGATCCTTTCATATTAACCCCTGATTTGGGCAGATTTCGGTTCCTCCACTTCGGGGTCTCACTGGGAGTGTTAACATTTCAGATATGCTACAATACTGAATTAGTTTATTAAGATGAACATCCTAGGTAGGATTTAACTGTGCTTCTGTGGTTGTTAGTACTAGTATGTAACAAATGACATTTGGTGATATATAAGTGTAGGTGGTGGGCAGAAATTCATTGTCTCCATGAGACTAACAACAAGTCAGTAACACCAGCAATATCATGTAAAACAATAACTTGTGGGCACTTTTTTTTTTTAGGAGTAATAGAATAAGTTAGAACAGGAAAGACGATACACCTTAGAAGAATATTGCCACATATCCACAGAACCTCCTCTAAACTCCCAGGCTAACTTGCTGACTCCTGGGGGGGCTTCCGTACCTCCCTGACAGGACCTGTCCTCTTATCTGGCACCATCTCCTGTCTGGAAGCTCTACACCACCCTTATATTATCGTCATCCACCTGCATGACAGCCAAGCACCACTGAGCGCACAGGAGAGAAGAGGAGGAGATAGATGGCTTTACACTGATAAAGACCACATTGTTTCCTCTGGGTTTCGCTTTTATAGTGGGAAGAGCTCAAGACCTATAGATCACTATATTATGACAACTGCTAACAGATTAGCTCGTTGTTTTAATGGGAATGCCTATTTTACTGCACCTTTTTGCAGGTGACATTTGACTATGTCAGTGAGGTTGGCTGAAGGAAATAAACTACTTCAAAGTCTAGTCTGATTGTAAATATTTAGCTACAGGGCTCCAGACTGCAACCAAAATGCATCTTGGACAAATCTGTCATTACTCCTTTTATAGTAATTTTTACTCACATACATGTCTGAGAGGACTGCCACCACCTAGCAGCACCTACCGCAGCCGGCAGTGTGAGGCATTTAAGGAACATCTGTAAATCCTACTGTCTATCCATAAGTTTCCTGCATCTGCACAGGTGAGGGGTGCAACCAACTGAGAAAGTATGTCGCACCAGTGCGACCAGTGAAAGGGTTCATCTGGGGCCCTGAGCTAGTTTGCATATTTAGATAGTTGGCATGTGCTAGCTTTACTCTTGCTCCCACTGCCCCCTTCCCTTTTTCCCCTGTCCTGGGCACGAGCACAAATGTGCACAGACATGCACAGGACATACTGGACCAGTGCTGTGTGGATCAGTCCAAGCCAAGGCTATGGACGAACACTGGATTTTTATTTTTCAGCGCACACACACAGAAGTGGACTGTGAGGATGTAATCACTAAATTTGATTTTTAAAAAAGTGTGTTGGAAAGGAATCGCTGACTCTACCTTTAGATAAATCCTCTGCAGTGAAGTAACTGTTGCAATAACTGGACCGATAATTTAAAAAAATGAAAAATAATTTAGCAACAATTCAGCACTAAACTATACTGAAATGAATAATCACAATCTAAAACAATGCAAATAGCAAATTGCAAAGGCTCCAAATCAAGATGTATAATATGCAGCAGCTCTGACTCAGGGTTTAAACAGTTCTTTGATGGTTCTACAAATTCTTGCTCCTCCTCCTTGTGTGACATTCTTGCTTTAAATCTATTACAACATAAAAACTTAACTGCAACTCATAATCATAATATGTTAGAAAAATTAGAAGTAGAATTTTTCCCCAAGATTTTTAGCCCTTGGGTCTAAGATGTGCCTTTGTAATAAAACAGAAAAACACAGCAGATAAAAAACTGATAACAACAAGCCCAAAATGAAACCAGCATTAATCAATTACAAAAAAAAAAAATGAAAAGGAAGAAAAAAAAAAAGCAAATAATTTTTTTAAAGATTCAAAGTATACTTTCAGCAGGTATTATGATGATATGAAGAAATGAGTGACACCTTTAGAAACTAACTTAATAAACACAAAGTCAAGCAGCAACAGTGTTTAACTGCCAAGTGCAGTTTGCATAGTGCCGAGAGACCACAGAGATAAGTGCTCTGCAGCAAATATGGAGACAAAATCAAAATTGAGTAACTCAAGGATAATCACTTCAGCTGTGGATGCTAAAATTGGAATATAGCCCATTAAATTGTGGAGGTTTAGGACAGGTAAAGGAGACAGAGGGTACAAAAGAGAAAAGCTTTATTCTCTCTCTCTCTCTTTTTTTTTTAACAGTTCAGGTAATAAGGAAATAATCTATTCTATAATTCTAGTTACAAATTGTTGCAAACTGTGTGTCTGTGTCACTGAAACTCATCTCCAAATAATCATCTCTTCATTCAAATACAAAAAAAGTGGTCCCTGAATTTGAATAACCGTCGCACGTAGCCCTCTCAACCTGACAACTTCACTGAAAATATCATAAATCACAAAGGAGGATGGCTAAATTATGCTAAAGAGCGCTAACTGATTAGCATTAATGTGCTCACTTTCTCCCTCGAGCGCTGAGGCATAGCGGTTTGTTCCTCTGCCGACAGACAATACCATTAACCTTTGCAATTCAGGCTCCGCTGTGCGCTGGCAGGTTAGCGGAGGCAGTGACCCCAAAACTAGATGTTGCTACCGGGGGAACCGAGGGGAGGTGGAGAGGAAGAGGGGAGGGAGAGCAGGGGTGGACAAATGTTCTTCATAAAAAAACAAACCACCTCATCAGAGATCACTGGAGAGTTATAGCTCTAATCTGCTTCATGCATAAACTCATCTCGTTCGCCACAATAGAGATACATTTAGGCATAAATCAGTGTGAATATACAGATGGCTCCAGTGTGTGTGTTGGTGGGATGTTAGGTTCTGTCTCCCTGGTGTCTCTGTGCTGACATTTAAGTAAACACACCAATGAAAACAGAATTAAGGTTCTTTGATAGATAAAACAAAACCTTTTCTTGTGTTACACTGTTAAGTTTGTCTTTTTGTTTCACATCAGGACACACTTAAGTTAAACATCACTCTCATACATGGCTCCATGCCGACCTGAGGCTACTGCTGTCACAGTTATCAGACTAATCGACCAGTTCACCAAAATATAATTAAATGGCAACTACTTTGATAATTAACCTATTATTTAAGTCATTTGTAATCGGGATTTGTGTTTACTGGTTCCAGCTTTTCAACTGTACCGAAAGGTGCTGCTAGTTTTCTCTTTACTGCTATTACATGTTATTATGAAACTTCAGGCTCTAGAAACATGATGCCCTTTGTTCACTTTGTGTCCCTTTTATTCGGACCAAATGATTCAATAATGCATCAAAAAAAAATAGTTAATTTTTGGCACCCCTCAAGAGATTTCAGCCAGTAGCAGGGGAGCAAAAGGAAAGACTAAAATTGTGTTTATGAAAAGGTCAGGAACAACAGGAAAATGCACAGATTTCTGTCCAATAAGGCAACACACAGTCAGTGTCTACGCTGTATGAGTATGGATCATGTTTACTGTCATACCTAGTCGTCCTCCAAAGACTCGTTCTGAGGCAGGAGAAACCCTGACAGCTTGAATAGTGTTTTTTTAATAAGTGTATTTTTTCGAACCATGTAGGTGCATTTGTTTTACCCCAAATGTGATTGTCTGTCCCTGTCTTACTATAAGCTTATTAGTCAGTTATAAAGCACTTTGAACTACACTAACCTGTATTTCTGCCCTATTTTTTAACTCCTCATGTGGCTCTCCAAATCCTAAACCTTTCAGCCAAATTATCAGTGTACACACTAACATACAACCACTGTAAGCTTTCACAGATGACGTTACAAGTTACTAAATTTCAACTTCTTTTGAAAAGTAATTCAAACTGTAGGGATTTAAGGATTTAAATTTAAACCCAGTTTGTACAATGTTTGCATTCCAGTGCTGGCTAATGAGTTCAGTTGATCTTTATTTTCTACACTTTTAGTGTGATGGGCTCCTTTATACCGCAGTCATCGGAAAATATAATGGAAAAGTAGCAGAACGGCTTCATTTGTTTGTTGCACATTCACATTTTTGTTATTCTTTTAAAATGAGTAATTTTTGTCCCATTGTAGTTTAAATGCTGCTTCAGAGTCTTGTCATACACATATGCAGAACAGAACTCTCTCTTGAAATGAAAACTATTCAAAATGTTCTCTGCAAGCTAAACACAAAAGCTGTTATATTATATACCGACTCACAACAGTTAAGCCCTAGTTACAGGTCAAGTTTGAGGTGACAGGAATATATTAATAAGATTATAAATTGCAATGTAGCTTAAGGCACATTTTCCCTGCCGTGCTAAGTCAGCGGTATAAAACTGTGGGAAAAAAAATAAAATCTGGTCCTGAGCCAAGTCAAACACACATCGCAGGCAACCAACAAGCAGGACCAGCATCAACAATTTCCACTACATACTTTACAGCAACACGTTCAGCTGCTGTTCGGGGAGGGCTCACGTGGAAACTGCAGTGAGAGTGATATAGCAGCCATTAGCTCTTAATAAATGCTAAAAATAGAAGTGGAGTGGTTGCTGTGGGTCACCTGGTACTGCTGGTAGTTGTAAAGGTTGCCATAGTAGGTGGGGTAGCGGGAGGGCTGGTAGAAATTGTAATAGGAGGTTTCCAGCAGCAGGTCGGACGGCCCCTCAGTATGAGTCCTGGCAGCAGCTGACGGACTGGAGGACGATGCCAAGCGGGCCCCTGAACAAAAACATACAGATAAGAGACAATTATTAACACAAAGATGAGTTCAGAGGCTGCAGTGTAATGTTTGTGGCTGCTTTTCAGGACTTTCAGGTCATAATTATTTGAAATGCAGAGCTTTGGACATATCTACACACTCACTGTTTGTTCTGTACAAGTTAAATAAATGAAGAAGTTAAGCTGCAAATTTAAACGGTTTTAAATTGCTGCACAGAAAAACAAAACATCAGATTAACTTTGCAGGATTTTTCTGGCCCAAACACACCTCAAACTACTGTCAACAGCACCATCTGCAGGTGACAGGTGGGTCTGGTGTCACCAAACTCTGTCACATCATAGAAGTATCACTGAACTTAACCATCTGCTCATCACTACACGCTATCTGTTGTTCTCTTCTTATCAGCAAGGCCACATTCTTCTCAAGCAGACCCTGATCTTTTCGCTCTAACACAATGAAGACATGGTGAACCTCCAGAGCCAGCGATAATGACGTTTTCTGTCCCTGTTCTTGTCATCAGCGAGTCGCAGAGTACTAGACTCCTTTTTCCACCTCAGTCTTTTCGCTCTGTTGCCAAGCCAGGGAGCCAAAGTTCACTCTCTCACGCATACAAAGACGATTCAGAACAAGAGATGAGCAGCCTTGACCGTAGTAATGTTCCAACTCCTAAACATGCTATCAGGACCAGATGGAACACAGTATCTGTGTCTGCCTCCACACCCCCTCCGAGAATGTTATCAAGGATACCCATTCATTTAAAGTTTCACTTATATTTCCATGAGAAATGGCTCATGGCTTATGGATGGTATCCACAGAGGCTATTAAAGTATTTGTGCATCTGAGTTTCAGTGAACTTCAGCCTTTCTCAAACTGATGAACAGAAACAGTATTGAACTTACCTGATTCAACAGAATGTGGCTTTTTTACTTGTAAAACTCAAATGTTTGTAATTTTATCATACAGCCAGTGAAATATTTTACATGTGAAGCTGCCAAAATTAATACCAGCAATTCCACCACCAAAAAATAATAAACATGTAAAGTTCAGAGTCGTGTATTTAGGGTTTGTCTGGGAAAAAACGATGTATCCAGAAGAAATATCTCCTTTATTAATGACAGTTTCCCATGTAAATCCTACACACTGCAAGAAAACACTCTGGACTTAGTGTGCATTCACTGTTTAATGAACAACTCTGTTCTTCGTTCATGATCAGATCCTAAAAATCTAATTTTTGTAATGTTACAGATATTCTACAAGTCCTTCGTTTGTAGATTCTAATGCAGGAATTTGGGGATACTGCTCCAAATTGTTGATCACATAGTATGTATTCATGACTAAAACCATATTAAGATTTAGTATGTGATAAAACTAGATTTATTTGTAAGGCTGATCCATCTCCTTCCACCTTATTCCAATGTTAGCTGCTGTTTGAGTTTTATGTAGCTGAGTGTGTTGTGATGTACAGAACAATGCTTTAAACTGAATCATGTATTATTTAAGATGCAACTGCATTATTGTGACACTGAGAGGCAAACCTGCCAATTAACTTTTTTCAATCAATTACTATATTGACTACTTTACCAATTAATTAGATACTCTAAACGATTAATTGTCATCCCCCAAAAAAAGCAAATTTACCGTTTAAGTTAATTTTATTTTGACAGACTGTATCTCACTGTAAACATTTTGCACAGTACAATATGTAAACAAAAGTTTACATATTTAAATGCAACACTGTAGAGTTGAACTGGGAACTCCACCATCATAAAAACAGTGGAATAAAACCAGGGAGTTTTTTTAATCAGTGGTGTAACTCAAAAGAAATCCAAGTTTCTATTCAACACTTCAACAAAGTGAAAAAGCTCAGACCAACTAAAGCAACTCCTTTTTTGCTTGTAGTGCGCAACTGACTTTGGTAGCTTCAAATGTTATAAAAATACAGCGAAAAATCACAGCACAGCCGTTGTCTTTAACCTCTCGGTGTGGTGAGTTTGTCAGATGACGCTGCAGTTATGAAATCAGGACTTTAGAGGTTCCAGAGTCGGAAGCTGGTTAACATGTAATTGTTCCATTGTCAGACAACAGAAACAGTAAAATATGGAATTACTGTATTAAAATACAGTACATGTGAGCACAGAGACAAGCTAACATTTGAAGTTCCTTTTCGTCAAATCGTGCGTTTTCTCTACAGGTGTTCTTGCATTGTGCTGTGCTGCTGAGTCATCCAAACTCAACACAGAATTCCCAGAATTGGGAAGCGTTCAGCTTTTGGAAACTTTTACACTGAACCAAGTCACTGTTGTCCAAAACAGAAGTGCTGACTGTAGCTGACTCATGACTGGAGTCAAAAATGGCATCATAAGGCATCACATATATGGTGATATTGAAGAGAACATTTGTTATGATGAACTTAAGTTTTTTTTTAAAAAAGAACACACACCATCCACTGATCAAAAATACTGGCGTGGACACACTTCGACAATGCTTAGTGATCGTGGCAGCACTTGACAAAACACGTCCTTGTTGCTGCTATGAACGGGTAAAATATTTTACAAATGTATTTCAAGTATTACTTAGTGTATGCTTCTCTTCAGCTGAGCCTTCAGCCTTCTGTACATACTTTTCCTTGTGAATATATGATGGTAGACTAAGCATTTACAATCATTTACTGCAGCTATGGTTTGAAGACAAGCCCTTCCTTGTACAGCTGCATAATCAGTCACCTCATTTAGTGGTGCGATAAATAAGAGTGGCTCAAGGGCACTGGAAGGGGATCAGTGGCAAAAGTTCACCTGTGACGGCAAGAGAAGAAGTGGGAGAGTCGGTAGGAGTGAGGGATCGTCCTTCCACAGAAAACAGGCAATCTGCCCCAGTTTCATTCTTCACCATCACATCGGGGCTGGACAGAGGCACCGGACTGCAAATCCCAAGCTCCTCCTCCTGAGCCTGCTGCCTCCTCAAGGCGACCTGAAAGGGAGGGAAAGCTTGATAAGAAATTGTCCATCACAAAGCAAGACATTGGCTTTTATTCCTGATAAGACCACTAGACATTTGCCACTCATTTAAAATTCTGCTGACAAACACCAAGAAAACGGGACACAGTACTCCAATTCTTGACTCCTTGTTAAATGCAGAATTAAATGTAAGGCCCTACCTACTGTCTACAAGTTAATGTATACACCAGGGATGAAATTGTGTTGAGACAAGACAATGTGAAACACTGTTTAGTTATTGTTCAAATGAAGCCATTAAGCTGGTAAATGAAGTCTGTTTTTAATTCCACTGCTTTTAAGTAATAAGTGTTGCTATTAAACCTAAACTGTGAGGACTTTTATAAAACTTATCTGCACTTTTATTTAATTAATTTTTTAATAATTTATTTTCTGCTATATTGTGCACTTCATCTCTTACATGCTTTTATTTTTCTTGTCTTTTTTTTTAGCTGTTTAGATCAATCAGTTTTAATCATTCTACAAATCTGTAAGCATGCTATTCAACTTGCCTGTATTGTTCTTGATTAATTATACGTTATATTTCATGTCATTTCTTGCTTATCGGCAGAGTTGAATGGAGTTACAATCAACTGACTGCAGAATTGCACACAACTACAAAAGGACTGTATTCATTATAAAAAGATAATAGTTGGTATTTTTATAACACAAGACACCACGTAAATATACATTTTAAGAATTTATACTAAGTTGGTTCCCAAAACTGATATCCAATATTGTACTTTAACAAAGTAGAGGACGACATTAACCACAGTGTGCTGGTTATTATTAGTTATTTGAGGGTTTTGTCTTATGTGGGTGGACTTTTCTTCAACAGCACCCACATCTCTTCCCCTATATACTATACATTTTAATCAATCACATTAATACTAGATAGATAGATAGATAGATAGATAGATAGATAGATAGATAGATAGATAGATAGATAGATAGATAGATAGAACTTTATTGATCTCTTTGGTAGGGTACCTCAGGGAAATTGTTAACATACTAAATTACCTCATTAAAAATTCAAAATAAGTGCCAATAACCTATAAAATATATCAATCTCACTCCAACTGGTAGCTCAAACTGATCGAGCTCAATGGTTCTTAAAAGTTTTCGTCACAACGCAAACCATCTATTAAAACAAGCATTTCTTTACATGTGATGATAGCCATAAATCAACATAAATAAGGCTCATTTAAAGGCATACAGTCTGAGAACCACTAGTGTAGCTGCCTGCGCTCACTGTGATACTAATATTACGCTGAAATAACTTTTCAATTATCTGGATAAAATCCAAAGATTCATGAGCTTCAGGGATAAATGAACATTCAACATCCTCACACTGTTTCTGTCCAAGTTCACCACTTTATGCGTCCTCACCCAAAAATGTTGAAACGAAATTCTCAATTAGAGTATTTCACGCTGTTATGTAATCTAATTTAAAGAACAAAAAATAATAATAATAATTTTCTAGAAACCCTACTTTAAGGAACAAAGTTACAAAACAAATGTCCACAAACGTTGCTGTTTTGTGCACTTGTAGTTCTTATTATTTTTTTCATATGGTGTCTTCTGTAAGTAACAAGTGCAGCAACATATTCCTAAAACATCACTAAAAATACAATGTTACTGCTAAAAATACTGCACAGTTTATGTTAGAAAAAAACACAGTAACATTTAGGAAACTCAGTATTTCAGTAAACAGCGCTAAAAACACACAACTGTTAGAAATCACAACAGCAACAAAGAAAAAACACGAACAACAAAAACACACACTGTACCTCACACTTTAATTGTTTAAAGTTATCTAGCTGTGCATAAACTTAGCTAGCTAACTTTAATTGTTTAAAGTTATCTAGCTGTGCATAAACTTAACTAGCTAACTTTAACAGTTTTAAACCTAGCATGTGTATAAACTTAGCTAGCTAGCTAACTTCAACAGTTTAAACTTAACAAGCTAGCTGTGTATAAACTTAGCTAGCTAGTTTTACGGCTGCTTTGAGGTGTTAGTAAACAAATAAAAGCAGGAAAAACAACTTCAACAAACATGGCTATGCTGGTTAAAAAGTTGATTTTAATCGTAACAGATTATTTTTTCAATGTTTCAAACGTCGGAAGCAGTTTGACTTGGCCGCAGAAGTTTAAAAGCGTCACTTTAAGCTAATCTGGGCTAGCCGTGCTAACAGGTAGCTACAGGGAGGAACGGTTACCTGCGCCGCCATGACTCTCTGCCGCTCCGCGATCAGCTTACATTTGGGACACTGGCAGTCCCTCCAGTTACAGAAGCGCTTGTGTCCCTTCAGAGGAGACACGTATCCGTGGTTCCTGCACCGGGAGCACTTGGGCATCCTGGGGGCCTTCTGCCCTTTGGACGGGGACAGAGGTACGGCGCGCTCCGGCACCTGCTTTCCCTGCTTGTCCTTGCTCATGGCTGCTGGCAGCTAACACGGCTCCCCAGACAGTGCTCGTCCCGGCAGGGCTGGCTGGTTAAAGTGCGCTGTGGTGCCCGGCGGGAGGCTATAAGGTCAGCGGCCCTCCCCGCCCTGCCGCTGCCGCTGCTGTCAGGAGCTCCAACAGGCTGCGGTGGGAGGAAACGAGCGGGAAGCGGGGGAGAAGCTGCTGGGACGGTGGCATCACTGCTGCTGCTGCTCACACTTTCACACAAATTACTGGAAGTTCAGTGTTCCATGCAGACTTTTAATTGTTCAACTTCTCCCCAACTACAGCAAAAAAAAGGAGAGAGAGAGGGACCTGCTTTAAATGCGGAGGTTTTTGGGACAAACTTTGCATGTAATTGACCAGACTTGACTGGAGCGGCCTTGAAAACAGAAAACAGCATTAATTGCAACTTAGCAGAGAAAATACAAACACAACCAAAAACAAACCATTTAAAAAAAAACAAAAAAAAAAAACAACCTTACTAGGAAAAAGGACTTAAAAGAAAATCACACAAGAAAACACAACAGAAAGCACAACACAAAAAACAACAAAAAACTTTCTAGTAAACAACAAAACACCACAACATCCTAAAAAAACAACACTGAAAAACACATTTTAGTAAACAGTGCTTAAAAACACAAAACCAACTAAGAAATCACTGCTAGAAAAAAAGGGAAAAACAACAGCAACACAGTAAAACACAACAACAAACAAAAACAGAAAAACAATTCAAACAGATTCACCTAAAAAAACGATCAGGAGAGATACAGTTTTTTAGGAAAAAACACCACATGAATGCACAACATTTAATAAAGCAGCACCTGAAAAGAAAACTAACATCTCAGAAAGTATGACACAGAAAACAGCAATAAACAGAAATGTAAACAACAGCAAAACAAACAAACAAAAACACAACATCCTAAAAAAACAGGACAAACAAAATCAGAAAAACAAACAAACAAACAAAAAAAAAACATTTAAAAGAGAAAATCACAAAAAAAAACACAACTTTTTAGGAAAGTAGACAAAATTTTCTTCACGACACCTGAAAAGAAAACCAACATTTTAAAAAGCACAACACAGAAAATGCAAGAAAACAAACAAAACACAACAACATTTTAGAGAGCACAACACCAGACATGTAAATCATTTTAGCAATGCACATTTAAAAAAAAAAAAAAAACAACAAAAAAAAACATTGAAGAGCACAACAAAACATGAAAACAATAGTTAAACATGTTAGAGGGAAAAAGGCATGTCAGGAAAAACACAAAAACACTGGATAAAGCCACCTTCAGAATTCTAAATGATCTACATTTTGTTGGAAAATGAGTGTTAAAGGTTTTTACTGAGGGAGTTTGGAGATCTGTTTTTTGTCTCTCTATAAATCAGAAAATATATTCAACAGGTAGAAAAAAGGTGGATTGTAGACACAATAAAACATTGTTTCAGTGTGTTTTTAATGATAAAATGTTTTAGAAGTATGTCTGTGAATGACACATGAACAAGCTTCTCTCTGAAAACCTTCAGAATACGTGGACAAAACAACAACACAACACATAAAACAACACAAACACAACTATAAGCAAACAACACAGAAACATGCAACATGTGACACATAAAACACACAAAAACAATTCAAGTTGCTGTTTTTCTGTTTTCTGAAATGCTGTTGTCATTTCAGAAAAGTTGCATTTCTCCTTTTTGTTCATTGTTGCTTTTTTCCCCCCTTTTAATGTTTCATTTACACCTCAGGGCCATCGTAGTGCTGTGACTATGCAAATGTACTACATCCATCCATCCATCCATCCATCCATCCATCATCTATACACAGCCTAATCCTCACTAGGGTCACGGGGGGCTGGAGCCTATCCCAGCTGACTCAGGGTGAAGGCAGGGGACACCCTGGACAGGTCACCAGTCTATCACAGGGCTACACTTAGAGACAGACAACCAAGCACACTCACATTCACACTTACAGACAATTTAGAATCACCAATTAACCTCAACATGTTTTTGGACTGTGTGAGAGGAAGCTGGAGAACCCGGAGAGAACCCACACTGCACGGGGAGAACATGCAAACTCCACACAGAAAGATCCCGGTGCCCCCACCGGGACGAAAACCGGCGACCTTCTTGCTGTGAGGCAACAGTGCTAACCACCGATCCACCGTGCAGCCCAATGTACTACATGATATACAGTTTTAAAAAAACAAACAAAAAAAAAACAACAAAGGTAATAATTAAGTAGTGACTAAATAATAAAGTTAGAGAGTTAGAGATCTTAAGACTGGACCAGTGATTATTTCCAACCTGTTGTATGTCAGAAGAGTTGATCAGAAACACTAATTGCACACTTTTGGTTATTTTTATTATTATTTTTTTTAATCAAAACAGCTGTGCTCTCTAGTTGCTCATCAATAAAAACACATGCTTCTGTTTTAAATCCCCAACTATTAGCAACACTTCACAAATTGTAAGAGCAGTTCTAACTTAACGAGTGCAAGCGACATTAGCATTAACTGCTCATTCACTGTTCTTTTATTCAGTTCTCTGTTTGAAGCTGTCCATTTGCAGCAAGCACCTCACACTATGCTGCATTCTCCAGAAAGATGTTAAATCATCCAGAGTTCAGTGGCTTAGTTTACAGTTTTCATTAAGCACTAATAAATCTTTAAAGAGTCAATTTAAACGTCACTAGTTTCCTATTTGGGTTTATACAACACAGCTACATTTCAGCAAACAAATACAACTGTACCCTCAAACACAAGGAACCATCAGTGTGTGGCTGCTGAAATACAACCCTGACGTATATGGTTTTAACTTCATTCTTGATGCTAAGTAGTCCCTTAATTGAAGAATCACTCCTTACAGCAGCTTCTATTGAGCCTATTACAGTCAATATGTTATAACCATTACTTACAATACTCCCCCTGGGTTTGTAATATCTGAGTATCTTCCTACTAAAACACATTTACTGTATTTTTTTCTTTCTATTCTGCTGCTACATGGTGGATTAATGCTCTCTTATTAATTTACTAAGCTTGACTGAGCTCCAACTGAATTAACCTCCACACTGGCCAGTCAGTCAGCTGAGTGGATTTATAGGCAGGGAGTGAAGCGAGGTGCGATACAGAGGCACCCAATTAAAACCCCTGCAGCCAAATGGAGGGCGTATGAAAAGTTACCGATGTTTAAAAAAGCAGCCGTTTACACAGCAGTGAATCAGGCGGTCAGGATAAATAGCTGCTACGCTTCACTGGTCCCGCTGCTGTTACTGAAAGCAGGGTTGCAACACTGAGTTTAATTGGCTTTAAAGCACGAGGAAATAATGATCATTTTTATAATAAATGCACCAATAAAGTCTGCAGTTTAATACTGTTAACATTTATATTACTCCTCTCCAAGCCATCCCACAGCAGGCCACAGAGTGGGGCAGAAAACAATTAAAGATATGGAAAATATGAGCAGTAGCAAGTTACTTTAATAGCACACAGGCTTCAGTTATTCCCTGAATACTAGCTCTGAACACTTGAGGGAGCCACTGAGTATAAATCATGAGGAGGGTAAAATAAAGACAAAGCTCAGCTAATGGGGGCCAACTGTGGGTAAGTTACAGGCCCATAAGTTAAACTTTGAGTAGTCAGTAAACTAAATCTAGTGAGAAATGTGGATGATGCAATGTTAGTTAAGTTGCAGAGATTGTTTTCTTTATTTACATTGTTTTTAAATTGTCTGCCACTACAAGATGCACCATCAGAATGAAACAAAATATGGATTTCAAGCTTTTGTTGTCCACAACTACGAATATTAAAACAGAAATAGAAAATGAGTAGCCTACACTGAGTCATTTCCTTTAATATTTTTTTTCAAAGACATAATTCTGCAGCAATAGCCTAAATGTGAACAGTGAAAAAATACACAGACACAGTTATCGACTTGGGAAGTCATTTGAAAGAACTTGATGTTGTGAGGTTCAAACCTATTTTTCATTTGGTTTATTTTGATGATGGACAATTTAACAAAGAACTGCAAAGTGTTACATTGGCCATGAGATTATTATTTTAAAATATTTTAAATACTTCTTTGAGGGGGAAAAAAGGATATTCAGTATCTTTAATTTTTTTTCTTCTTTTAATCACCTCTTACAATCTTTTTTGATGGACTTGCTTTTAAGTGATTTTGTCTGTTTTATTTGATTTCATTTTTGTTCAATTCTTTTTTTCCTTTTATTTATTTACTTATTTAGGTATTTATTTTATTTATTATTATTATTATTTTATCATTATTTGATCATATTCAAAGAACTAAGGTAAATACCAAGACTATTTTAATTATTATTTAATTATTGTTGTTGTATTGTTATTTTGTGGCATTTTGTTTATTTTGTATTTTGTCCTAAATTGTTCCTCATTGTTTGCTGTATTGATGATGCATTCGCGGCTATAGGAGTCCGTAAATTCAATCAACAGGAGGATATTAACCACAGTGAATACTGGCGTATCACAATACTTGAAACATATGATATTAAAATTCAACACCAGTTGAAATGCATGTTATATGTATACAATAGATGTATGTGTATTCAATCCGCATTATCACATTTTTAGCGTGTCGTCAAAGCGTGAGAAGAATGCGTTGTTTCGAGGCATCCCTGAAGGCATCATTGCCTAGCAACGGAGAGTTTCTCCGGCGGAAACTTTAGCCGACTGTTTCTGACAAAATGCCCAAAAAGAAGGAGAAGAACTCCGGCGAGAAACAAGACGAAACCAAGAAAACACCGAAAAAGGATAATTCTGCGACTCCTGCAGTTAAAACCGGTCTTGGCGACAAAGAGAAGGATTTATATCTGACACAGATAAAATATTTGACCGACCAGTTGGAGCAGTGAGTCTGTTTTAAGTTTCCTACGACAACAAAAACGGTTCTCTGTTTAGGAAAACAGGCTATTTAAGTGGGAATAGTGTGATAATAATGTGAAAATATATGCATTATTGTTAGTAAATGTTTTGCAGGAAACTTTTTTTTTTCCAATTTTACATTTAAAAAATCACGTCAGCACAACTAATTAGCATTGTACTTACGTAATGCTGAATGCCAGGTTAGCTTGTCATTTGTTAGCCATGCTAGCACTTTGAAACCAGCATCTGTATTAGTGTGTACACCTGCACCAAGACAACAGACGCTATAACTGAGCTGAACTGATTTAACAGACCACACTAAGACGTTCACTTGCTCTAGTGTCGATGGGGAAAAAAACCCTGTGGTTCCTCTGTGTTATTAAAATGAATGGTAGACACCACAGATGAAGGTAAAATCTTTCCCTAATACTAGTAAATATCACCATGAAACTTCCCCAGTTGATTATTTATGACTGGATAATATTTTGTAGTTTAACGAATAGTCAGTAATGTTATTTATAATATGAAAATTAGGTATTCAACATCTAAAAATACCTTAATTGGTGGTTATGTCTACTATAGAAGTCTGAACATGGTATGAAGACAACTTCAACGTTCAATATTGTTTAATTTTGTTGGCATATTAGTGTGTTTTTAATGTTTTTAATGAGGGTGCTTTGGGCATCTGTTTTTATCATTCAATATACAAAATATATATATATATATTTGCTGTGTTTTTAGAGATAAAATATTCCTCAAATAAAGCTGTGATGATATATGAACAAACCCGTCTGTAAAAACCTTCAGAATATAGATATGGGTAAAAATGAAATGAATAAATCATTCATCCAAACTAAAAGTACTGCACAATCAGTACGTTTAGTTTGGATATCTTGCATGATGTAACGTTTTGAATGCTGGTGTGATATTTATACTTGTGCTTATGTAAAGGATCTGAATCCATCTTCCACTCTGTGATCGTAGCACTTTAATTACTGTATTTAGAACCTTTTCTATTTAAAAAAAATACAGCAGGAAGTTGTGGCTGTATCATTAAAGAAGAATACATTTAGGTGGAAGAAACATCATAAAAAAATACCTCAGTCATTCCCCAGAAATCATAGTTTGGTGTATCTAAGTGCTCCTTAAGTGGAGATTTCTGGCTCATAGTATGGTAAAAACAAACAAACAAACAAACAAATAAACCAAAAACAAAGTCATTTTCCATCCATCCATTATCTATACACTGCTTAATCCTCACTAGGGTCATGGGGGGCTGGAGCCTATCCCAGCCGACCCTGGACAGGTCGCCAGTCTATCACAGGGCTACACTTAGAGACAGACAACCAAGCACACTCACATTCACACCTACGGACAATTTAGAATCACCAATTAACCTCAACATGGTTTTGGACTGTGTGGAAGGAAGCCGGAGAACCCGAAGAGAACCCACGCTGCACGGGGAGAACATACAAACTCCACGCAGAAAGATCCCAGGTGTCCTCACCGGGACGCGAACCGGCGACCCTCTTGCTGTGAGGCAACAGTGCTAACCACCGAGCCACCAGTCATTTTGTCATTTTGTAACTCATTTTATAAATGTATTATAATTGAAATCTACAGAAGTAAAGAGACAAAGTGAAGCAAAAATAAACACCTAAATGTGTATTTTGAACATTTTCTTTCCACAAGTCTTAAATAAAACATATTTTGAAAGCAAATAAAAAATATCTGAATTGACCACTGCATGAAAAAAACTCTTACAACACTTATAATATCACCATGCAGAATTATTGGTACCCTGAAGTCAAAATAAGTGCACTTTACACCAGGTTGGATCACAGTTCACCAGGGTGCTCCTACAGTTTTTGGTGACCCCTACTTCTTAGGTTAAGTTCCCTTCAGTCACATCAAAGTGCTAAAATGAACTGAAAATCCTTACATACTTCTTTTGAGTGGCTTTCACTAAATCTGTCAAATCAAATGTAATACCAGTATTCTAAAATTCACCTTAATACACATGTGGGAGGTGGAAATGTGCTTTAAATCCAGAAGGCAGAAACAGTGAATCACTAAAGAGACTGTCCTGTTCCTCTCCCAGATATCAGCTGAAATGTGAGGAACTTGAAAGGCAGAAGAAACACTTAATCTCACAGAGCAGCACACTGGAGACGGAGAAGAAGGACATAGTTGAGTACCTGAAACGCTCCCTGCTGGAGAAGGAGGACGAGGTGGACGAGCTGTCGGATCGGCTGGAGAATCAGCGACAGGCAGCGGATCAGGATAAAGAAGCTCTGCAGCTGCAGCACAGCCAGCAGAGGCAGGAGCTCCAAGAGCGACTGGATGAACTTATGAAAGAAAACCTGACACTTGGTGAGAGAATAAAACCATAACTACTCGAATTAAAAGAGCTGATCTATTTATTGTAAATGACCATTTCTTAATTACTGTACATTGGTCAGATTTTTAGGTACTATTTAATGCTATTGTTTATTTTTTAATGCACCTCTGCTTCACTGCATTACAGAAATAAATAATTAAGTTATAATGTCATGTAATGTACAATTTACTGCCTCACAGAAATAAATAGATTTTTTTTAGAATTATTATAAATATTTGACACGCAAAACCTCCTACACATTACATTACATGGCAATAATGAACAGTAGGAAGTAAGTCTGATTCCCTCACTTGCTATTAGGCTCATGGTATCCTGGACTGCATCATATTAAAGTGTTCCTAATATTTTTCTCTATTCCATTAATATATATTTCCTATTTTTACGTCTATATAGTCCTGTGAACTCATTGTTTAACATGATAGACAGAGGAGAATATAGCTGCTCTGTTTAAGAACCTACAGCTTCCACAAACTAAACACCGCAACAACAAACTAACAGGTGAAGTTAAACTTCAGTGAGCAAAGCCAAAGGGTGAAATATTTGCAGAAAAAAACTGTACGAAATCAAAAACTGGACTCCCAATGTAATCTAGATTCTCCTTTCCTCTTCTCCTCCTTTCCTCCCAGAGGAGAAACTTTCTAGTCTGGAGGAGTTTCAGAGGCAGAAGGAGGAGCTGACGTCCAACATGGAGTCTCTGGAGAAGCAGCTGGAGGATCAGAAAGAGAAGCACAAAGACGACGTTCACAACCTGGAGATGAAAGTTCTGCTGGAAAAGAGGAGGTCGAGTTTACTTAACTTGTTCTATCAGTGATTGTAGCCAGTTGTAGAGTCTAACTAAATGCATTTACTCAAGTACTTATGTACAAATTTAAAGTAATTTACACGATTATTTCCAGTTTATTCAGTTTAATTGTTGTACTTCACTTCATCTCAAAGGCGAATGGTTTTTACTCCACTACATTTGTCTGACAGCCTTAGTTAGAAGTCACTGTTTAGATTCCACATTCTTGATTTTAAAATCACATATCTCCGAATGTGGTGATATTGAAAAGCTTTGTGATAACCTGAAGGATTTATTGTTCCTTTACGGGATGAGAAACTTTCTAAGCTAAATAAACTATTTAACAACCCTCTTGGATTAGCTGAAAATACAAAACTAAAAAAATTGCTGTTTTTTCTGAGCTCACAAAAAACTGTCTTCTTTCAAAAGGCCGCAACACTACAAATGTACAGAAAATGATGCATTCCTGTACATTAAACTACAACCAGCAGCATATAAAGTAGTAATTAGCTCAAGCTTAAACATCTACAACTTTGCAGTAATATGAATCTCAAAACATTACATATCACAGTAAAACACTGACGGACTATTTAACTGCACAATCAATGCTTTTACTTATGTAATGTTTTAAATGCTTGACTTTTACTTACTAGTAAAATACTAGAGTATTTTCAGTGTGGCATTAATACTTTTGCTTACGTAAAGGATCTGAATCTGTCTTCCGCTCTCTGATCATAGCACTTCAATTACTGTATTCAGAGCCTTTTCTATTTAAAAATGCAGCGGGAAGTTGTGGCCATATCATTAATAAAAATCACATCTAAGTGTAAGAAACATCAGTAAAACATACCTCAGTCATTCACCAGAAGTGAACATTAGTTTCACCTCCGTGTCTCTTCTTCCTCCTGTTCCTCGACAAAAGACTGGAGAAGGAGATGGAGAGCCATGTGGCGGCGATGGCGGCTGAAGTGCAGCGGCTGGTGGACCAGAAGCTTCCTGAGACGACCAGGTCGGTGCTGCAGGAGAACGTGGAGGTGAAGAACCGTCTTGGCCTGCTGTCAGAGCAGACGCAGGTCCTGATGGAGGAGAACGCTGCCCTGAAGGGTCGCAAGGGTCGGCTCAGTGTGGACGTGGACATCCTGGAACAAATGCTGAGCGAGACGTCACGCACGAGCTGCATCCGCAAGAAGGTAAGAGAACAACTTTATGGATCACAACCTTGTAGCTGTAGGAGCTCTTCAAGTAATGCATCGAAACTGGGCCGTCTGAAGATCCATACGGTAGTTTTATACATTAGTTTTGAAAGTTTTTTTTAATTAACTTTAGTTAGTTTAGATAAGCCAGTCCTTCCTGTGCCTTGTTTCTAAACTGAAAAAGAATTGAGCCACTGAAAACAACATAAATCAGCATCTTCTCTCCATCAGGCGGTGGAGCAGCTCACAGAAAAGTGTCAGCAGCTGCAAACAGAACAGAAAGACTGGATTCAACAGCTCCAGCAGCTTCGCACTGAACACACAGCAGTCCTGGCTGAGGTGGAGGAGCTCAGGTCAGCGTTTATGCTGAACTATTCATAACATATGCATTTAAACCAGGAGACTCCTGATCTGCAGTCAGATGCTACACGACTGAGATCTACTTCCTGTTTGCAGACAGAACCGGGCCTTGGTGTCGGAGCAGTGCAGTAAAAACAGAGCCGAGGTGAGTCGTCTGGAGGTGGCGCTGCAGGAGGAGAGGAGGAGGAGGAGCAGGATGAAGAGCATCATGCAGGAAGCGGCTGACACTCTCAGACAAGCCCTGATGGTAAAACACACTGACCCTAACCGTGCTCATGTCAAGGTTTGTTTCTGCCTCAAACATTTTCCTGATGTTGGCTCGGTTCCCTGCAGGAGGCGCCGACCGATCAGGACTCAGAGCAGAAGAGGCTGATGCAGAAGCTGCTGGTGGTTTTGGACAGATGCAAGTTCACCAGCTCCACCGCAGAGAGCGACCAACTGAATGAGCTGCAGAACTCCGACTCTGCAGCAGCCAAGTAATGAAATCAGCTGCTCACAGGATGCTTGGATGCAAACAGTCAACTACATATGAAATTGTTCAGTGACTGTAATATGCTTGAATCCACATTTAACGGTAATTTTTTAGGAGACGTTTTAGTGATTTGGTCACAACAAAGGAGTCAAAAGCTGAGAAAGGCAGCTCACCATCACAGTGAAAACACTAAATGCTTCATTAGTAAACCAGTGGCGGCTTTGAAGGAACTGTTGTACTGTCAGTGTTAAACCAAACTGAGAACAACTTGAAACGCTCCATCTTTGTCATCCTTCTTGTGTCTTTACAGAAAATTAACTCTGGACCCAGAGTTGAGTTTCCAGCTCCAGCTGGCCCGCTACAGGCCCGGAGACCTCGGCTTTATCCCCCGTCCTGCACCCAAACACAAAACCACGCTCTCCAGGACGGGACTTATGTCCAGCAGCACCCATGTTCCTCTGTACAGGTTTGTTAGAAGATCACTCAGAGTCCTTCATAAGCACCGCTGAGTTAGAAAGGTTGTTATTATTTTAGAGAAAAATGACCTGAAAGTCTTCATCCATTTGTTATTTCAGAGATTTGACTTTACTGATGCATTTTGATATTTCAGGACTTCAGTCACAAACTAATGGTTTGAAAGTTAACACAAGTCGAGGTAATTATAGGAGCTCCAGGAGACACAAACTTGTCTTTTTAGGACAGAACGCCAGAATTCCTTCCAGTGAAAAACTCAAGATTACAATCACATTAAAGACTGAGACGCTGCACAGACACAAGAGAAAGTAGTGATTTTCACAAATTTTACAATAATTGTAGATGGTGATTTCAGGTTGTTGGTTTTTTTAAATGTGCTTTTTAAAAACACTGCTGAGGACAAACAGTCTGTATGTTTTGTGTCTCTTTCACTCAGGAAACCTTCCAGTCAGAAGACGCTCAGCTCTGTCAACCTGACCGACTCTGCTGTCGGATTCTTGATCTCCAAACACTCCAAACTCAAATGACAAAAACTCATTTCCAGCAGCACTGTCGACATCTTTATGTCAGAGCAAAAACTATATTTCGAAGATAGACTGTCGTGACCTATTGTCCTTTGCAAAATAAACAAATACGTATTTATTTCGTGATGTAACTGTCTCAGTTATCTAAATACTGTAAATTAATCTGGAAGTTATCAAATCTGCAATATCCTGCAACAGGGCAGTTTCTGAGCTTTCTAGCCGACATTATTTCCTGACATTTAAACATATAAAACAGAACTGACTGTTTCACTCTGCGACAATCTAAGGTGTAGGCCAAAAAAAACTGATTTAAAAACAGCTCTGAAGCGAGGACGTTTCATTTAGTTAAACATCCGTTTCCTCAATTGTTCAGATGCAAAGAGAGAAGTCGAAGAAAGAAATCGAGAGCATATAAAATGAGAAACTGTCAACTGGACTGACCCTGAACTGTCAGAGTGAATTCATATTATTAAAAAAAATCTTTCAGCAGGGCATTGATCAGCCCGTTTCGATTTTATGAATGAAACTCTCAACCAGCCGTTCATTAGAGCAGCTGTTCTGTTCTTTAGGTGATTTTTAAAAATAAACTGTTTACTGGTATTAAAAGTGAATTATTGTTGTTTCAGTTCATTCTGCTTAAATGAATTTTTTTTTTTACAACTTCTTTTGCTTCATGTGATATTGTTTTGTATGTTTCTGTGTCTTGGGGTGAAATGCTGTTTTGTGGCTGTTTTTCACGATTTTCCTTAAGTTTAAATAATAAATCGGATTTTTTTAAAAAGCAGATAAATCTGCAGTTTTGATTTTTATTCTGATTAATTATTTATTCTTTTGCATTAAAACATGACTTTTATGAATATGTAGCTAATTGCTGGATATTTTCCTTTTGCCTTTGGAAATAAATAAAATAAAATGAGCAGAATAAAATGATTTTTTTCCTGCTCCACAGACATGAAGATCTATTCAGAGCTGCAGCTTTCCCTCCAACATGAAAACCAAAAGATTTTCATCATGACGGTAAGAAACAAGTCTATTGACTGTGTGATCATTTAGCAGCGAAGACTCAGAGCCAGAGGACTTTTTTTTATGATTTAGACTCTTTAATTGATGTTTATTGTTACATGGCAAAGTTTCAGGCACTTCAATCCTCATTGGAAGATGAAAGTCAGTACCTTAATGAATACTAGAGGAGGACAGACAGCTTATATTACACATGAGAGACAGAGAGAAAGAAACTGGACACAAAGACGAAAAGGAGAATAACTAGACTCTATGACCACCGTATGTACAATGAAATACATATCTGCATTAAAAACTATACTTTGATAAATATATAACTTCATGGATCGTTAAGTAGGAAATATTCAAAATACTGTGATTCTTCTTTTTAAATAGATACAAAGGATTTGTATAAAAGTACAATTTGTCCAGTCTAGGTCACGCCTATTCGACGATGCATCCGTCCACGTGAGTTGTAGTGAAGAGCTGGATGTGGAGATGTCGAGGCGAGCGATATATACAGGAAATGTTTCCTCTAACGTGGGTGGATGATTCTCCATCTGCTGATGTACTCACAAAATAAAAAGAAAAAAAAAATCACCAATGAAGATGTGTTGGTGCTCTTAAATGATCAACACTGAGCTTTCAAAATAAGAAAAAAAAAGGAGAAAACTTGAAAAAAAAGGAAAGAAAAGATGGAAAAAAACACCATGGCATTTCTTAGTTGACTTTGTGTCCATGTTGGTCTGAACTCTGGTGGTCTGCTGATTCTTTCAGCCCCAGTCTGACGGGACTCGAGGCACCAGCTGGTTACATTCATGTTCGAAGGGCACTTTGGGCTCGTCGTGGAGGCAGGTGTGCTCATAAATAACAGTTATTTCCAGAAATCTCATTGGTTGGTTGGTTGGGATTCAGTCCCTCAGCTAGCTGTGGGTAAAGGCGTCGTTCAGCGAGGACCGATAGCAGCGCAGGGTTTCAGGGCAGAGGAGGCCGACTAGTCAAACATGCTCCTCCGAGTGGGACTCGGTGAGGTTTTTCTGCCGAGTCGAGGCGTTCCCTGGTAGAAAGACACGAACACAAACACGTGAATGGATCAGCGTTTATTTAAGCACGAATATAGACGGAGTGGGGAGCTTCAAGGTGTTTTAGGGAGAATTCTTCCTCAGAAATTTAAGGTTTAAGGGTAGAGGAGCACATACAGTTATATATACAACTATATTTATGACCTTCAATTAAAGAAAAGGCAAAATTCACAATAGACACTCAAATAACTAGAAACTGAAAAAAGCAATAATAAATAAACATTTGCTAAATTCTAATTTGGTGAAATAAGACATTGCTTTTGAATTGTGGTTGAAAAGAATTATATATTTTTTAAAACTTTCCCAGACAAATGAGAGCACTTTGCTGATTTGCAGTGAAATCATAATAGCTGTCAACAGGAGCAGAAGTCTGATGGAGAGTTACAGAAAACACTTGATTGCAGTGATTGGCTCAAAGGGTTGTTCAACTAAATATTAGTTTATGGATCCCATCATGTTTGTTTGCTTGTTTTGTTGTTGTTGTTTTAAAAAACAATATTTCTGTTGAACCACAATTCAAAAGCAATGTTATGATTTCCATTAAATGTTTATTTATTATTACTTTTGTCAATTTCAGCATATTTCAGTGACAGCTGTTTTTTTCCTTCTTTATTGGCAGGGTATGAATACATTTGAGGACGACTGTATGCTTTCCACATTTAACCCCCTGAACCCCAAGCAGTTTGTGGGCATTTTTCCCCCCATCCTGTCACATTTTTACTCACACCTAATTTTTCACTTCAATGTAAAATCCTGCACCTCTAAAGTCTAGGAGTTGAGAAAATCCAAAAATGTGTTGACTAGAATTTCTTTAAATATTATTATTAAAAAAACAAACAAACCTGTAACTGCCCACAGGTTTGGCCAATACTAGAGAAAGGTACTACATATAAGTATTCCACAATTTACATTTTTAATTTGCTGTAATACTTGCCACCTATCTACTCCATGTAAACAACCTGCAGTTCAGCCGTAAAGTTCCTGTGTTTTTCTCACTGTCTCACTGAGTCAGTCGTTGCTTTGTTGGCTTTTTTTTTTTTTTTTACAGAATATGGTACAAAAGGTTTTATTGTTGACAATTTTTTTCAATGACACAAGTAGAAATAAAGTGATTATGATAAATTATCCTGATTTCAAGCTAAGATTTGGTGACGTTTTCCAACATAATGGGATGTAATGCATGATTAGTTCAAGGACTGCTGGAAAGTTGAATATCTATTGTTTTTTTCTGTTTTCATATTCTGGCTCTGTTAAATAGTGTCATTTTGGTTTCTTCTTCTTTATTTATTTTATTAAAAGACAGCATGCCTTTAAAGCTGCCAGTGGATTTTGTGGTGCAGACTGTTAAATCACTCTGAGGATATTTAGTGATTGTGGATTGTAGAGATAAAAGTGACACTTACGGGTGACTGGGCTTTGGAGAAGTTGACGTGTGCATAAAGTAACACTGCGATGTCTTTGTGTCCTGCTTCCAGAGCGATGGACAGAGCGTTACTCTCATCCTGGAGGAAGGGGAGGAAAGATGGTCAACATGGGACAAAGATAAGAAAAACTGAAATAAGTTACAATAAGTTATACACAGTTATTAGCAACAACAAATTTGGTGCCAATTATAGCAGATTTACTGTGTATCATAATTTACTATTAAATCCAACATCCCAACTCACTAAACTTACCACAAACATGCTCCAGCTAAAGTATCATATAACATAAACACAGAAAAACTCAAATACAATCTTAATTTGTAATATTTTGGTTGGAGAAATTGTAGTTGTTCACCGCATCCTGCTGTAAAAACCGACTGTTCTGTGTGTAAAGACATCTGAACCCAGATGAGTCTCTTCCTGAGGTACTCACACTGTCGCTGAGCGTGGCGTCGCAGCCGGGTTGGGCCAGCAGCAGTTTGACGATCTCCACGTGTCCGTGTTCGCTGGCGCACATCAGCGCCGTGGAGCCTTCGTCGTCCTGGATGTTGACGTCGGCGCCGTGACCCAGCAGCGCCCGGACCATGTCCATCCTGCCGTGACTGACTGCCAGCATCAGCCCCGTCTGACCAGCCTGCAACAGGGAGAAGAGGTTTCACAACCTAACATCTATCTGCAGCCTGTTTAGGTAAAGATGAGGCCTTTCAACTTTTAAAAAGCTTTTTGAGTGACAAGAGGCTGCTGCTTCTCCATGTAATAAATCCTTTAACACAGTTTAGGTTCATTTATGGTTTGAAGCTGCTCTGTGGGGTAAGATTTTAACACAGACACACTAATTCTGTAAAACTGATCAATAGAAATTAAATAGAAAAACTAAATAGAAAATAAACTAATTGGACAAAGTAGGGCTACTACTAAAACTAAAGACGGCCATTTTCCAGTTAATGACATTGTTTTGTTTTAATGTTTAAATATTGTATAAACGTGTACTTGTATATTTGATGTATTTGGGTTTTGGTCTTTTGGTTGGATAAAACAAGTTATTTTGAGAAATCACGAGGATCTAATGCTAATTTTAGAGATAATAAAAACAAAAATTAGCTGAGTCACACAGTACTTTTAAACACTGAAGCACAAATTATGTTTCAAACAAACAGACTGAAATACCACAAATTCATTCTAGAAAACTCTACAGATCAAAGTGCTGAACCAAACCATAACCACCTGCGAGGCTTTCTCCTAATAAATTACACAATTGAATCCAAATAATAAAAGCAGTGCTCCCCCATAACAACTGCATCTATGTCAGAAAAGATTATTACCTCTAAAATGTGACACAAACTCTGGTAAATAAAGTCCATGTCTCACTTTCAAAAACAGTTACTTCCATTTACCACTTGGTGTCACCAAAGTACATGTTTTCCTTCAAGAAGGCATCCAACCTCTGAAAAACACATCTGCAGCTTTAGTTGAATTTGTGTTTCTGTATGTGTTTACTAGTGAATAACGAAAAGACCGAGACAAGAAGTTCTCATGTCAAGCATTTTAAGGCAAAACATTGCTTTCTCATGCACTGGTTCATTTAGAAATTTAAAATCTTTTGCTTCCATGCATGTCTTTTTTCAGACTAGTGGAAAGAAGACATCAATAACACACATATTTTTCCCCCCGTATTTTACCACTTACTCTATTTTCATATGCAAATTTCAACTATAAAACTCATCTTTAACGACTAAAATTAGTTTTTGCTTCTACTCTGAGACAAATAACCACTTCAGCACCACTTACATACAACAAACCTTCCAGTTTCATGAATGTCTATATTCAGAGGGGGTTTGTTCATTTACACGTGACAACCTTTTTCCTAGAACATTGTATTCCCTGAAAAAAATGGCAAAAATGTTTTGTTTTCGGGCTGTTGACAAACATTTTCTGATTTTACGGCGTAATCGGTAAAAACCTTGAACTCTAATGCGTCAACCAAATGAAGGAAGAATTTTGAAGCTGGCGTTCTGCAATGTTCAGAATTCTGTTCTGGATGCAAATTATTTAATTGTAGAATGCCTCATTAGCATATTAAAACCTAACATTTCTGAGCACTTGTAATCCTACATATCACTGTTTTATTGTACATAATCATCCAGGTAACATTAATGGTGACATGGTGATGTTTCTCCCCATAAATCATCTTTAATGTTGCTGTTGTGTCCAAGTGGATTTAATCTGTAGTGTTTTATTTTGCAGTCAGTCAGCCTGTTTGGTCGTCGTGACCTTCATCTTCCGGCTAACTGAAACCTAAACTCAGCCCGTTTGCTGCTGCAGCCTGCTGCCGCCTCTTGACCTCCGACCTCCAGCTCTGACCTGACTGGCTCGGGCGTTGACGTCGCCCTTGCTGAAGAGCTCCTCCACGATCCGCATGTCTTTAGGCGTCTCCACGGCTGCGAGCGCGGCGAGCATGATGGGCGTGTACCCCGCCTTGTTCTGCTGGTTCACGTTACACACATCTGAAACACAACACAGCAGCAGCAGTTTAAAGCAGCTCCAGGGTGAATTTTTTTCCATCCTGGGTGGTCTGAGGGGGAATCAAACCCTTCAGACTGTGATTGACTCGTCACTGTCGCCGCCTGTCAGTCAACAACACAATAATGTACACGGCCTTGTGTCAGGCCTGTGATGCTGCAGTCAATCACACTCCTGTGACCACGATGCATTGTCTGCACCCTGCACAGCTCATCCTTTACTGTCAGCCTTTTCAGTCTTGAAGCTTCGCACAGGCACCAAAAAAAAAAAAGAAAACCTTGAGACATCAGAGCCGGGATGGAAGTGCAGCGAGGGGAGGCCTTAAGGAACTGGGACGGAGCGAGGACAAAGGCTACAATGGGAACAGGGGGGTGGATATGCTGTCACGGAGCACAAGGACACAAAAGGCCGAGCAGACAAAAGGCTTTTGGAGCAGCGAGTGGCCGGGACCTCATCGCAGTCTATTGAGGCTTCAGAGGGATCGCTGCATGGATGTATCAGCATGTGTGAGGAGGAAACTCGCTGGAGCACGTTAAAAAACAAGTTCACTCTTTTCCTGTTCAGCTTCTGAGCAGCAGCTCGACACATCAGAGTGCATTAGTGTCCTCTTTATTTCCTTTTACTTGTGAGGTTTTCTGGCTTCTTGGTAGCTGTACAAATATTACATATTACATTATGAACCACAGTATAAGAGCTACAGCTGACTCTATGTGCCATTCTTAAAGTTTACTGATACTAATGTATTATTTAAAGGTGACAGCAGAGATAAAGAGGAGACTTTCTGCAGTAACCTAACTAAAGATTACAACAAAGAGAAGAAACCGAGGCTTCTGGAGGTCTGATAAAGCAGCCAGTAAAAGGCAAACAAAAAACAAAACCTTGGCTGCACTTTTAAACAACATTCATGATCCCAAGCTTTAATAAATCAGGAGGCTTTCAAACATTTTAGAATGACTAGACAAGAGGGATTCCTTTCAACTTACTCATCACCATCAAGAACAAAGCACACAAACATTTAGCTCTCCTTTGTGGCCACATGACGACAAGAAAACGCTTCTCAAAACTACATTTTTCCTATCTGTCATCACCCCACAGCTCTCACCTGCATCCAGCAGCTTCTTCACCACCAGGAAGTTGGAGTGCGACACGCTGTAGTGCAGCGCCGTGTTGCCGTTGCCGTCGGCCATGTTGACGATGTGGCGCAGCACGGCGGGCGACACGGCCCCGAAGGCGCCCAGGTAGTCCTCCACCATCGCCGCCACCGCCGCCTTCTGGCTGGACACACGGAACCACTCGTGCTGCACCGTGTTGAGGCAGGCTCTCTGTGGAGGCAGCAGGTGATTATCGACACAAAATAAACCAAATATCTGGCGTTTAAAGTCACTGAGAGGAATGTAAGCTGCTGGAAATATGCTATAAAGTTCAACACGATTTCACAAGTGGGTAATTTTATCTACAGGGATCCAGACTAGTCGGCTATTATTCCAAAAAAAGACAGTAGGCCGTGCACATCACCCAGGCTCCGTATAAATACAGTAAAACTCCAGCGAGCCTGCACAATTAAACCATCATGACTTCTAAATTAACATAAACAACTGCAATATCAACATTCAGAATCAGTGCTCTGCTCGTACAACCTCTGCTCCAAATCAAATCAAGTGTTTCCCAAACTAACAGCCAGCCACCAGGGAGCGATCCAGATGTTTTTGCTTCACTTTTGGGAGCTTTCATGCAGCTGTGGACGCTCTCCTGCAGCGACAGCCGGAGCAACATGAATGCTGCGGCTGCAGCCCAGAGTAGAGGAGTGATTTACAGCAGAGGGCAGACGGAGAAAACAAAAAACAAATGTGTTTGGAGCAGATGGTGAAGAGACGTTCCCTAAAAACAGATCATCATTCGTTGTTTGGAAGCGTTTCAATTCAGGGCAAGAACAAATCATACACAAAGAGTGCAGGAGATTTGCGCTTTTGTCGCAAAGCAACACAACTAACTTGTTCAACCACCTGAAAAGACACCAATGGATCCCCCGTGATCGTCTCAGATATTCACAACATAACAACCGTATCACACAACATCGACAAGATGAAATAGTGAAACAAGGAAGGGGCCCTTTGTTTACATTTATTTTACATGAAAATTTATAACATTTTAGGATAAAATAAGGTAACCAAGGAAAGTATCGTGCAACTAAACGAATTACATTATAATTTAACGAGTTGATTTCCAGTGAAAATGTGAAAAACTTTGCATTAACCAGCCAACATTTGTCAGCAAGGACTATGAAAACCAGTCAGACTCTAAGTTTTATATTGTTAAATGTTATTCTTCAGTTTTGCATAGTAGAACATAGAGCAGATTGTACTGCATGATAAAAACAAGTCCTCACCAGATCTTTACTGCTCACAGCTTTGGCATCACTGAGGTGAGTTTTGAGAACGTTGCACGCAGCCAGCATCTTCTCACTCAGCTCATACCTTTGGATGAAAGTCAAACACAAGCACCAACCATTATTTTAAACATCTAAATAATCAGAGGCAACAATCCAAACAGAAAAATTGACAAAGTGAAACTGCAACTGATTTTTATAAGCGCATGTTGCAATTATCGTACCTTATTTAGATGCTGCATTTATATATTCTTATATTATTATTCTGCAAGTCATCTAATGTGTCTGAGGTGAAACTGAAGACTAATGATTAACTGTGGTTGCGTTTTACTGTCCTCTGTGTGCTCTCTTTTACACTTGTTTAAAGACAAACAGTGCTGCTCAGTTTATCCACTTTATTAATGTGACTGTTGCAGATATTTGTCCATAATTACAGTCAAACAAACTTGAACTCAAATGCTACTGATGCACCTTCGGTAGAAATGTAAACAGGTAAAAGATTGTCATTAAGCAACCAAGTAAACAAAGTGGGCTTCTGCTGGATCTCTTCCTTGGTGCTAAAAATGTGCTAATGCTATATCTACCTGTATAAGCTTGAGCTTTAAACACTCATAAAATAAGCTAAAAAATAACAAATAGCTTCTACAAGCTTGTCTGCACACTCACGCAGCTTTATGAATCCTTGCAAAATGAAAACAGTACTGCTGCAGAGTATTTATGCGTCCCATGTGCCATCTGAAAACAGTAAACGAGACTTCATTTCCTTATACCCACCTCTCTCTCGTCTCCTGCTTCTCTGAACTTTCCTCGTCGTCCTTCTTATCCACGTCCTCGGCTCCCTCTGGCTGGAACTCCTCCCTGCTGCTCTTTCCCTCTACTTTCTTGTATTCCTCTTTTCCTCCAAACTCCTTCTCCTCGTCCTCGTCTTCCTCCTCCGACCCAGAGGAGCTGCTGTCCTCCGAGCTCGAGTCATCGCTTGATGTAGTTTCGTATCTGGACCATACGGGGGCGACAAAGGCACAGAGACTTGAAGACTCAGGTGTTTGCATTTAAAAAAAAAAAAAGAAAAGAAAGAAAGCCCGTAGCGGCTCAGATTTCATGACATTTACATGCAACTTGCTCTCATCCGGAACGAGCACGTGGATGTTAACGAGCCCATGTTTAAGAGACAACAACATCAGCACAAGAGCTGTATCAACATGAAACAACAGTGACCTTAACCTCACCTGGGACACAAACAGCGACACGGGTCCAGTTAAAAATGAAGAGCAAAACATAATCTACTTAAATATTCATGGCTGTGAGGTTCGAACGAGAGAGCCTGTGAATATATTAACATTTTCCGACTCACCCTCCGTTCACCCCGACGAACTGCAGGTTCTTCTTGGTGCCGTTGGAGTCGGGGCGGCCGTCCTTCTTCTTCATGATGGATTTCAGGGTGCTCTGGCTGCACGGCTGCCCTGAAGGAGGCAAAAACAAACACAGCAAAAGCATTTAGACAATAAAGTGTAGTTGGTCACAAAGCTCCAGAGTTATGGATCTTAAAAATAAGACAGTGTTTAAGTTTTAACAAGTTAGTTGCTTCTATAATGACCTTAATCGTGACAGCAGCTGCCTTTCACACAGTTCAAGTGTCAGTGTTCATGTACTGTTAACTCTCTGAACTCTAAACAGTTTCTGAGTGCTTTTTGTCACATTTGTCTTCGCTGTGGGCTCATTTTTTACTCCAATATAAAGTCCTGCACCTCTATGGAAGCAGCACAACCATGACAAGAAGTAGAGAGAATTTCATCTGAGCAGTGTGACACAGTAATAAAACAATAAATAATTTAAAAAGAAAAAGAAAAATTAAAGCTGAATATCTTTCAGAAAACTGGAAAACACAAGAATCAACATGCACAACATTTTTGCCCAAATGTGCTACAATTACTGAAAAAATGCCTTTACACAATATATATATTGTACTAATGATATTTTTATTTGTTTCCATACTTGTCTCCTATCTAGTCGGTGTAAACACTGCCTGCAGTTCAGATGAAAAGTCCATGATTTTTCGTCACATTACTGCTGATTGCAGCTGTGTCACTAATGGCTTCACAGTTGAGCTGAGAAGTGCAGAATTTTTAGTTTTTGGTAGAATCTTGTTGGAGCTTGTGGTTTATTTTTGCAATTTTTTAAAAGGAGACATGTAGAAAAATAGAGATTTTGGTGAAACATAATGATTTAAAGCTTAGATTTGTTATGTTTTCTGATAGAACAGCATGCCAACGTCAAAAATCTGACAATTCCTTCTGTTGTTAATTTCCTTCCCTGATAAATGAAGCAATGTTTAAAAAAAATAACGTGATTTTTTTTGGAGTTCAGAGGGTTGAAGTGCAAAGTGACAAGAATGTTGGTTGATAAGTTTCATGTTTTTTTCCCCTCTTTGTTTCTTCTCCTGCATTTTCTTTTCCTAGTATTACAATCAACCTCATGTAATCTCTCCTTGCTTTCCTCTCCTGCATCATTAACACACAACCGAAGCCCCAGCAGTTCATTACACACAGCTGATAACGCCTCAATAGGCCACTAAAGATCTCTGACATGATCAAGAGCTTTGGCAAAGAGGAAAGCAGCCATTAAGTGTCCGTCTCATCTGTCAGCGAGGCGCTGGAAGTCGCCCCGAAGCCTGAAGCATCTCAGTCATTTTAAGTACAGGCCTGGAAAACCAAAATACCAGCAGAGAGAGCCAGAAACACTCAGCACATCTGCCAGGACTTGCCCCGATGGAGGGGCCTCCTCTACCGCTGCAGGGGACGACTCCGAGGGCGAGCGAGCGTTCGTGCAGCGACATGTACGCTGCTGCACGTGTACACGCTGCAGCGCTCGGTAGCCGCAGAGTCACTCAGCATGTTTCCTGTGTTGTGACAGGTGGGAGCGTGAGCGGCTCGGCGGGCTCATGACGATGTTTGTGTTTTGCCTGTTGCCTGGTTTTTAAATGGAGCTCTTACGGACAACCAGGTGAGTTTTTGCACATTTTGGCAGGAAACTGTGGCCCTCTGCTCCAGAAACAATAATACCAGTGAAGAAATGCATCAGCTTTCTATTGAGAGGCCGACTTTTATCCACCGAACCGCAGCTTAAACATGTGGTCAGATAACTATCACTGCCTTGGTACAAAAACATCAGATTTACATACTGAAGTCGAGGCATGTTTTCACTTTTTCGGCTCTGGTTTCAGCACATTGGATGTGAAGTGATCAATGACTATGTTTCTATAATGTAATTTTGTGTACATTTTTGAAGAATCACATTAGAAAAGTTTAATGAAAACAGATAATTTGGGGGGAAAAAGTACTTTAGTTTCACAGAAAAGTTCTTCACAATCACTTGAGGTGGTGTTTGACATTTTTTAAAACAGAGTTAATGCAAAACACGGGTGATGGAAACATTTTTTCCAAATAAGTTCTGATGCAGTGAACATTTAAGTCACATGACTGATCAGCTGACTCCATTTCTTTTGTTGTCTTCATCTCCAGACAGCAGCTGACATGAAAGAATAATTACACAATTCCGATTTTAAAACAATGCAGGGGGATTCTGCTCCACTTTTCTCTCGTAGATGGATAAAAAATGTTCATCTGTTCTTTGAGTTGTTTTTTTTAAGCAGTTATCAAGCATCTGGTTGTGTTTGTACTTTCTTCTACTCTTATGTTAATACTGTCTTGACATTCTACTTTTCACAGACACACGGCCGTCAAATTAGGATTTTGTGGACACATACTTGCAGCTCTCTATTGTATTAGAGAAAAGGTGAACAGAAAAGGACAAAGACAAGAAACATACATTTAAAAGCTCTATAGGTATTTTAAACCCACAATGTTGTTAATCTCCAGCCCCTTGAGCCGGATCTTTAACAGTCATCCATGCTAGAAGAAAAGCACTGATAGCACAACTCCTCAGGTGTATTTTTACTCTGCTGCAGATGACTTTAGCGACGTGTTGTCGTACCATGTAGCGCCGTTGACATCTCCCGGTCCATTCGGCTCTTCTGCTCGGCTGCACTGATCTGCTGCGGTGAAGGTGTGCTGGTTGGTTTGTCTGCTGCCGTCAGGCCCAACGAAGTCCTCTCCATCTGGGACCACTCCGACCGAACGGACAGCGACTGGAGCTGCTGGCTGCTCTCTGAAAAGAGGGATGGTGGAAAAAGTTAGACTCCGAATGCACAGGTAAGTTTGATACCTTTGACAGCGTCCTTGACTGCTGCTACCGTGAGTGACGGGTTGTACATCAGCACCAACAACTGGATGTAGTGAAGATTGTATTTTAGAGAGTTCTGGATATATGGGACTTAAACTTTGTATTTGTCACAGATTTAAAGAGGGGCAGTGTTTAGCTGCAAAAAGACGATTTTGTAGCAAGATCTGAATTAAATGTGACGACAGAGTCAAGTTTGTTCCGACCACACGGACACATGCTGAAACAGACTAGCTGCTGAAAATGTTCAAAACAAGAAAATGCATCAGCTTTATCTTTGTATGCAGATTATAAACACTGGTATGCATTTTTTTAAAAAGTGTGTTGTGTTGCTGAGATTCACATGATGCAGTCCAAAAAAACCACACTTAGCACATACAACAGTCCACGGTATACCTTTAGGAGCTCTTTTTTTTTTTTTTTTTTTTACATACTGAAAAAAAATTCCCAAGAAGACTTGAAATTTTGTGATGTTTAGCTCTTAAAACGTTTTTAACATTTACTAATGGAAAGTAAACGCCCAATATACACATTTTGTTACACTTTGTCTCTTTGTGTCTGCAGATTTCAGGTATACACTTCGTTAAAATGCAGAAAAACAAGCTTTTCCGTACACCTTGATGCAGAAATCTCCTCCTCCGGAGCACCAGTTTGCACTGAACCTCCCAGTTTTAGTCCTACATATAATCTAAAGGTTTGTACCAAGAGCATACATCAATCACAGCCTAACTTATAGAACGTTGTAATCCCTAAAAATGTTGACAGGATTGTCTGATTTATTCAAATAGATATTCAGAATCTCCTCAATAAAAGCCTTTAACTGTAATACGTCAACACAATGAAGCTTTTTTCACTATTCAGATTTCTGCTCTAGAAAAAAATCGGTAATTTGTAGCTATGCAATACCTTATTTGCATACTGAAACTTAAATTCTTAAAAACATGCAATATAAAATATAATAGCTCTATTGGAGGTAATCAAGTGGAAAAGTTTCATGTCACTATCTGTTAAAGATGTTAATCCATTCACTGTAATGTCTCTCTTTAAACCACCCAAAGGTTTTTGTTTATGGATGTTTTCCTGCTGCAGCTTCATGCACACAGACACTAAACGTCCATCGTTACTATCACAGAGGCTGTTTTATAGCGTACAGTGTCCAGCACCGAGAAATCCAATGAATATAGTTACTTAAACAGGAGCTAAGTGCGTTTTAGTCATTCGACGTTCCAGAAAAGGCCAGAAAGTGACCAGAAACGAGCTCACACGCAGCACAGACAATCAGCCCGCATTCTTCTGGCCGCCGGCATGAATGCATGTTATGTAACTCACAAGGAGCCATGAATCAGCATCAACAGCGAGGTGTTGGTGAAGGCAGGGCGGCCCGCAAAAACAACAAGCGGCCGATTGGTGCGACGCTACTGGCTCCCAAAAGAAATGAGCTCATTGTTGGTTCACATCCAAAGCCCCCACTGCATTTTTCAGGGTCAGAGATAACTTTGGCCTGTCTGATCCTATCAGGGTTCTCTTTAGACCATGTGTGAACGCTCCAACCACAGCCCCGACTGCTGCAGACTGGGTCCTCCACAGCGCAGCACAAACAATCGCTGGCCTTCAGTTAGCTGGTATTTCACTAAAATAAGGATCATTTGAGGCAGTTGCTCTGAAAAGCAGCCATGTAAATTGTGACTCATTACTTTTAATCCCGAGACACGACTGATGTATGAAATCTAAATGTATTTTATAACCTTAAAACCCCCAAATTCCATCATTTATCAGAACCAGAAGCTTTAAAAACTGAGAGAATCCCTTCCGGTCTTTGAAATAATCATGTGTGGCATACGGTTTCATTAGAAAAATGTACCAAATCTGAGCTTAAAATAAAGCGATTTCATCAAAATCACCTTTTTTTTCTACATGTCGGATTTAAAAATTTGCCAATTTGCACCAGATTCTGTAAAAAAAAAAAAAAAATAAATAAATTTTGGTGCTCCTTGATGCAACCAAGAAGTCATGATTAACAGAGCTGTGATCAAATGTCACATGACAAAACTATTTGGAAACTATCTGGAGGCTATTTGGATGAACTGCAGGCTGTGTTTGCAGAGCAGAGAGGAGGAAAGTATGGAAACGAATCGGAGATATCGAGAGCGAAATACAGAACAAACTACACCCAGCATGGTTTAAAAACTGTACAGAGTTGGAAGATACACTTAGTATGATTAAATATCCTTATAGATTTGATTTGCAAATGTTGTCAAGAATGCATAGTTTGTAGACACTATAAAAATATTTATCGTCGAGTCAGCATTTTTCCCCAGTCGTGATAACACCTGTGTGCACAGAAACGCTGCACATGCTGATTCCACTTTATATCAATTGAATTATCAAAAGAATTTAATCTTATTTGTTCTTTTTAATGATTTCTGGCATCATAGCTGTTCCATCCTGCACAAGGCATGTTTAATTCTCTCTGCTTCTACCCAGGGTTATGCTGTTTCCACAGAGGTGGAGGACTTTATATCGCAGTGAAAAAATGCGCCCACAGCTAGTAAAAATGTGACAGGAGCAGAAAATGATTCCAATCTGCTTCGGGGTTAAAAGGGTAAAAAAAAAATCCAAGAGGTTTAGACTTAAAGTTCATTCTGTCAAACTCAACTTTTAAGCAATCTAAGGGCAAGAGAAAAAATGGAAAACTGAAAGTCCATGATAACTAAGCAAACTCCATCACCTGAGGAGGATCATACAAGATGATCAAAAGCTCTGGAGTAGCTGTTAAATAAACCTCATGGTGAGATTGTTTGAAGTATTTCAACTTTAAACACCCTAAAGCTGAAATAATCAAACATTTAGAGAAACAAGAAAAGCTTCTAAATATTTTTCAAGTAGATGTAGTGCAAAAAATGCAAAAAAAAAAAATTGTGGTTGCAGCTTTTCCAGTGTGATGTTTGACCTTTTAGTTTTTTTAAATCCAATTTTTATCACTTTAAAAAGTATATAAGTGGGATTGCTGCTGGTCAGACAGTTTGTAGACAAGTTTTTTCACTTTTCATGCTGTAAACAACTAATTGTTACTCATTAGTTGCAGTCCTAAATTACTGCATTGTAATTAGAGACTGGCATATAAAACCGGTTTAATCTATTGAGTAATAAACCACGGAAGAGAAAAGGAACATAAATCAGCCTCTGCGCTCTCTTCAGGGCCCCCTCAGGCACTAAATACATGACAGCCTGTTTGCCAGCTTTTTTTTTTTTTTGCTTGAGCAACACATTGTGTGTGTCTTTGTGTGCGTTTTCAGTTGTGTGCCCTTGAAACTATGCTTTGATTGCCTGGACTGACTTGCAGCCAATCATCACAAGAACCATGTATGTTATTGCAACGCTTGTGGAGGAAAAGGAATGTTGTTGTTGTGGACATGATGTGCGGATCACGAGGAGCCATTAGCGTCCTCGGCGTGATGATTGTCGTACCTTTGTTTGAGCTCTCAGAGTCGGACTGCAGCTTCAGGATGTCCTCGACGCTGCCGTACTTCATGACGGAGTTGATGGAGGACAGCGTGCTGACCAGCTGACTGTTGATGGAGCCGAACTGGGACTGCGGCTGACCGAACGCATCTGCTAGCTCGCTGTAGTTCTCTGCTAGCAGCATCTGTTGCTCCTGCAGCAGCTTCTGCACCCTCTCGATGTAGTGGTCCAGTCCGACGCCGCCCTGCGCCTCCAGCGACGCAGCCTCGGTCTTCACCTCCACCGTCTCCTTGACGCTGCTGGTGCTGCTGCTGGTCACAGATTCAGTCAGCTGGGAGGGGCCACAAGCTATGTTTCGTGTTTTTAAACCCACCAAGAAATTCTCGTGGATGCTAACTGGTCCCACCCCACATTCTTTGGTTTTAGTTGAGCTCGACTTGCTGAGGAATGACTCCACGTCTGTGGTCGTTCCAACAGCAATCGAACGCATCTTTGCTGTCGAGTGAACGTCTTTAACGAGTCCTTCCCCAGCAGCGACCGTCCTCGTTTCAGGTGCAGCCGTGTTGGTGTGTTTGTCACAGGTGACTAAGCCCATGTCAGTGAATGAGTCAGTCAGGACAGCTGTTTTAGTGTTGGTCGACTTGCTCGCGACGTCTGTCTCGGTGTTGGTCTGCTGAGTTGCCGACTCAGGAGCAGCCATGACGCCAGAGTCCACTTTGCTGACAACATCCGGCTCGGTTCCTCGTGACACCAGCGTCTTCACGGGACTCACGATCACATCCACTGAACAATCTCCACAGCCGACCGACCGCGACTCTTTGCTCAGCTCTGTCATGGGTTTGCAGAGGGCCAAGCTGTCCACCGACTCCTCTGTGTTCACTCCCACCTCACAAACATTCAGCTCCACGCCGACCTGCTGGTGACACGTCTCCACCTGCCTGCCTACACACTGGTCATTTACCTCCACGCGTTCGTGCACCACCCACCGGTCCATCGGGATCTCTGGTCCTGTAGCAACACTCTGCACACTGGGCTCACAGGACACTCCAACAGTGTGGGTCTCTAGAGTTTTATCTGTGCTAACATGGCTGAACTCCAGATGGTCACCCACTCCCTGACTCCGCATCTGGACTTTGGCCTCCACACAGGCGTTGTACATTTCCGGCCTGACCATCAGACCTTTGTCCGCTTTTTTCTTGTTTGAGCCGCCAGCTGCTTGGAGCTCCAGTTTCAGTTTTCCCATCTCCATCTGATGAGTGGTTTCCTTCAGCTGGACCTCCAGGCGGTAGATCTTCTCTTTCAGGGCTTCGATGGTCTGCTGCTGCAGCTCGATCTCTCTCTCGGCTTCACTGGTCATGCCCAGCATGGCCTCGGTCACGCCGACTGCAGCGCTTCGCAGCTCTAGCCGCTCTGTTGCTACTCCTGCATCACGGAAACAATGTTCTTTTTGTGGCTTCCTCTGAGTGACGGGAAGGTTGTTCATATTTTCATCAGTAACTATGCCAATGGACTTCTGGTGGGCTTGGTTTTGAACAAGGCTGTGAGGCCGATTTTCAGTTACGTTATTGTCCTCTGTGGTCTTCTCCAGAGCTTGGACCTCAGCAGCCAGACGTCTGAACTCCTGCAGCCGCTGAGCGTTCTGCTCCTGGGCTTCAGGCTCCATGATGTGCAGCTCTGTTTCCTTCTGGATGGGCCCGGGGTTCTCCATTTGGTCAGCGCTGCCCACGCTGTAGGAGCGCTTGCGGAAGCCACCAGGACCTTGATTTTTGGACTGAGCAGCCAATTGTCTTTTCTCCTCCTGCAGAACAGCAATCTTAACCTGTAAGATAGGAATGGTCTTCACCTGCTCCTCCAGCTCTTTGAGCCTCTTGAGGGCCACAACCATCTGCTCCCGGATCTGCTGCAGGTGTAGTGGGCTGACGTTAGTGACCGGGGTGGCCATGCCGGAGCTCATGGGGCTGTGGCGGATGGAGCTGCCCATGGATGCTGGGTAGTAGGGGTTGTACTCTCCGTTAGGGAGATGCCCGTTGATGGGCAGAGGCGGATGGGTGCTGGGGGAGATCTGACTCGGGGCCATGGAGCCCGAGTACGAGGACAGCGAGCTGCTGGAGCCCATCCCGCCGAAGCTGGCGAGGCGGCGGCGGGGCATCGGAGGTTCGCTGAGCGGCTGCATGAGCAGACGCTCCTGTTCGAGCCGGCGGCGGGTCTCCATGAGGGTCTTCTCCACTTGGGGGTTGTGACGAGGGGCGAACCTGGGCGAGGGCGGAGGAAGGAGCTGTTTCTGCTCGGCGATGCTCGAGTAGGGGGCTTCAGAGGACGCCCTGGAGAGGGTGGGGGTCAGGGGAGCGGCGACGTGGGGCCTGGAGGTGAAGAAGACGGGGGACTGCTTGTCGTCGCTGTTGGAGGAGGACAGGGAGTCTGTGGAGGCCCATTCAGCCTGAGCGCTGACCCCGCCAGTGCTGCCCCGAGGCACCGCCAGGGGTTTGGTCACTTTGGGCTTCCTCTGGATACTCAGCTTCTTAATGGTGTTGCCCCTCTCGATGTCGTCAACATATTTGAGGAAATCCAGGTCTAACTGATAACCGTAGGGAGTTTCAACATAGTAGGGGGCCACAGAGTCCTTCTCGTCTTCTGTGCTTGGGCATCTTTGTCCTCTTTCTGAAAGAGACGCCACAAGAACATAACATTAGCATCATTTTGTAAAAAACGGAAAAGGCTTCACACGAACATTTTTATCTGCTGCATATTTCATATAACGAAGCAACATATGTCTCAAGGAAATGGTTAGTTGTCCCTGAAATGTTAAACGTTTCTTCGGTCACATCATAATTTGACAGTACAAGTGCAAACATGCCTCAGATTTCTCACCTCTCTGGGGGAAAAGCGCAAGTGATAATCATTTTGGCATGGGACGCCTTAAGTCAGCTCAAAACTATGTGAGATCCAACTACTGACGCCAATAAAAAAATACAAAGTGGCACAGAGAGCTTCAAAATTAAAAACAAATGTTGGGTATTCTTGTGGAATTCAGCCTGGTGTGGTGTGTGGAAACCAGAATGAATAAGACGGTGACAGATAAACAGTCTGTTGTTTACAAAGCAGGGATAAGGGAAGACCCAGCGGGGTCGGGGAGATAGAAACGCTGCTAGTGTCAATATTTTCTGGTCCAAAATCCATCCCAGTGTCAACATTTTAGCATTTACAAGCAAAAATGCACCACCAACTATCACATCTTGTGCACACAGTTTGAAGACCAGAATAAAAATGAAGCTGCAGTCGAAGCTGCTGAAGTCAAAGTCCAAACTCCGCACTGAGAATGCCCTGTGTCAGATCTGCGTTTACAGGCAGTTTTCCAGGCCATTAGGAGACGCCACTACACTCACGCTGTTGGCTAAATACAGCGTCTTGTTCTTGGTATGCCTGGAACTCTCCCCGACTAAAGCAAACACAGGCTTGAAATAAACAGCCCTGCTCTTCCTTTCCAGTCCGCCCAGCTCCGGCAACTTCTCCCGTCAATCCTTTCCATTCAGCTAAAACAGAGGAGGGAATTACAAGACTAAGCCTGCTGCTAAAACCTCACTGCCTTGTTGTTCAAGCTTCACTCACCTCAGAGCAACAGCACTGCCTTCGTTTTTACTTTTCCTTCTCCAGTCCTCTGTGCTGGCTGATTCAGAAGACAAGGTGCTGAGTTTAGGCTGTTTGAGCTGCAGAGCTGCTGTTTCTCTTCACTCTCTGAACTCTTTCTCAATCCTCTCTCCATAAGGGGGGGAAAAAAAAGTTCCACTATTGGTGTAAACTAAGCAGCAGCACTGCTCTGGCGCACTATTGGACAGCTGCTTCCTCCAATCCAGAGAGGCTCTGAGCCGGGCGCTTCCCTACCCAAATAAGAGTCCAGTTCTTCAGTGGAAGGGAGGTGAACGACCACAATAACGGTCTGTTCTTGAGACAAATAGCCGAGCTAACGTACATGTCAAACTGTTACACTCTGGTTTATACTCTGATCCAGTTTGCGGCACACGTTTTGTCCAAATAGAGCCGACAACCTTCACCACCATGTATCATGACTGGTTTATGTGGAATTACACCTCATGATGAGGCTCACCTTTATTGTTTTAAAAGTAAACTTGAATTGAAGAGACTATAAATTGTCTAAATATAGTTTGGAAATAGGCATCACAAGTTCCAAAAGCACAAAGGGACGTTTCAAACAGCTCATTTTGCACTGAGTGTTCAATTTTAATTCAATTTACAATAATGTAATTCAGAATAGATAGAAAAAAAAGCAGCAAATCTGCCAACATAAAGCATTAAATCCAATCTATTTTTTAGCATTTTTGCTTGAAAAACGGTTAAAGTGATTATGAATTGTCAAAATAACAGAAAATAAAGATATTGTTATGCCGATAAGGTAATCATTTCACCTCCAATAACTAAAACTTCACTAAATTAAGAGGTTAAACTTGGTTAATTAATGAATTTATCAATTGGCAGATAATCATTAACGGTTTTTATGCAATGTAAAGCAGAGGCCTTTTTTTTTTTCTCTTTTGTTAAAAGTCTTCTTTTTATATCCTGACAGTAATCACTAAATAAATAGATGTGTTATAAAGGAGCAGCTTTAGAGGAAGACCTGATTGGGGGTCAAGAAGGAGGGAAAGAACGAGGAGGAGCAACAGCAGCAGATTAAGTCCGGGGGGAAGGTGTCCCAGCGCGAAGTTTACGAGGAGACGGTCATCACCCCAAAGAAGATGGAGAAGCAGCAGGATGATATTGCCATCGATCAGAAAAACTAGGAGCCTTCTGTAGGCCTGATCTGAACCCCTAAAGCTTCCCTTTATCTCGCAAACCTCTTCATTTTTTTTTTTTTTGGTTGCATGCTTTCAAAATGCAGTTTATTCTTGGCTGGTTGCCACAATAACACTGTCTAGCTTTGATTAAACATTGGTTTGCTGGTTTAATATAAAGCTTTATGTATAATATGTTCAGGGTTCTAGACCGGTGGTTGTTGATCAAGAAAAAATGACAACACAGTCCCTGACTACAGCTTGTAAAATGTGAAATTGTTTGTCTTTTCTTTGTCAAATATGATCATAAACTGAAAGTCTTGGAGTCTACGCTGGGTTTCCCACACAAAATAAGACATCTGAAGACAACATGTTGGGCTCTTTGAACACAAAAACAATATCGAGAATAATATGCAGCTGCAGCCCCCAACCAAATACAACACTGATTTAAAGCCACTATTAACCACTCTGCACTATGTATCCATGCTTGTTGGTTTATGCATAAATAAAGCTAACTTCCTTGATTTATAGGAAGTAATATAAAACTTTGTATCACGCATTCAACAGAGTTCACCTTCAAGACAAAGACCAGGCTGTTTTCTGCTGCACAGCGCTGAAAAACAGCACGTCCTGTTTTTTTTAAATTTATTTTCTTCCTGGTATAAATAATCAGTGAGGCAGCACAGTCACAGTCTTGTGCTGCCTGGTTCGGAGGATTCCCCTCGTGGCACGAGTTACCGAGCGCTGACCAGCCATGTCTCATGAGAAGTGACAGGCAGCCCTGTGGTACCGAAGAGACCCCTGACAGCTGAGCGATGACCTCATCAACACGGGACAACTGACGGGGTCGCGCTGCAGCAACACCGACGAAGCCCCGGGAGTCTGCAGATATCAGCAGCTGCTACATTGTCAATTTGACAGGGATTACACAACCGTTAGACGGGCAGCAGGGCGACGCTATTCTGCAGGATTCGGTTTCCCTCAATTAAAGAGCAAGGAGGTTATTATTTGTTGCTGAATGCGAGATGTGATTTTAAGTAATATTTTTAACATGTCTCCTTCTGAAACCAGCCCTGCCTAAAACTGGACTGTTTGCACAACCAAGAAAGGAGGCATTTTTTGTGAATGAAGTGAAAGTTCCCAACTTTTCCCAAACTGAGCTCCACCAGCATGACTAAGCGCTCAGAGTATAGAAGGAACTCCAAAAGAGACCTCCACCTGCGTTAAACTCTCCTCTGGATTTGCCTCAGCAGCATATGAACAATGACAAAAGGTCCATTTCTGCTTACATTGTATTAAAGTTCATTACTTTTCTGCACATCCTAAAGCTTGTTGACTGTTACAGATCTGTCTGTCCTGGGGCGCTCTTGGTTGAGCTGGCATCCCATGTACAGGGGCTAAAGTCCCCGATGCAGTGTTCGAATCTGGCTCTGGACACTTTGCTGCAGGTCCTTCCCCCATTCTTCTCCCCCACTTTCCTGTCCCCCTTCCCCACTGTTCTATCAAATAAAGGAACGAAAGGCCAAAAAAATAACTAACTAAATAACTGTCTGTCCCCTGAACTGCACACATTTGTAGACAGGCAAACTGAAATGATTCACCCCACAGGATCTTCTCTTAGTTCTTTAGAGTTTTGAGTTTAACCCTCTGAAGCCCAAAACACACTGGTGGGATCGAAGAGGCACATTATCTTTACAAAAAATGGCCAAATTTACTTTGTTAACTCTCACCTGAGCCACAGACTGTAAAAACAGGAAAAAATGTCAGATTTTAAGCTTTCTGACAGTCCTTGAACTTATCATGTGGAATTCACAGTTAAATCGGGAAAATTAACCAAATCTAAGTTTAAAATTGTGATTTCTCAATAAAATCACGTAGTTTTGCATGTCTCATTAAAAACATGTTGCCAAAAATCTAACATTTACACCAGATCCTGTAAAAATATTTTAAAATTCTGTGCTCCTCAGGGCAGCAGAGAATCCATGAGTGAATGAGCTGCGAGTGGCAAATCATGTGAAATGTGAAAAATAAACAAAAACTTTCAACCAAACTCATGAAACAAGAAATCCAAAATGTCTGACTCTCAGTGCTTTCCAACTTCCCTTCTCTGTCTGAGGGTCTGAACACAAAGCAAGTAATGTTCTTAAAGAGGCAACTTATTGATCATTGTTTTGTGCAGACTGTATCATTACATTGCTATAAAAATTAAAAAAAAAACTAAACAATAAAGACCTTTTCTGGTCAGTAGGACCTGAAGAGTTTTAATTCCTTCTCTAAACATTATTGAAAAGCAAAGTCAGCAGCTTAAAAATAACATTTAGAGTTTGGCACGCTGCTGCTGCTGCTGCTCTCCTCTCAGCTGGGACATTAAAATATTTTGGACCAATTATCTGACATTAGCTGCATGTTCGCTCCAACAGCTTACTCTGCAGAAGCTCGGAGGTAAAACACGTCGTTCACAGGCCGTAACAGAAACCACGTGCGAGTCGAACACAGTTGTTCTTTACATCAAGTCAAATCCAAGTCTAATTCTTCACACTTCACTTTGCAGCCAAACTCAACAACCGATGTGACGGCGGGTCGCACATGTTTTAGTCATTTCCACTTCAACACACATGTGCTGTGCATCAAATCCCTTTTAAAACATTCAAACCTCCTCTGGATGTGTCTAAGCGTCTTTTTTTTTAGCAGCATTAATTCATTTAAAAAGCAGCTCCCTCATTGAGTTGCTTTAAACTTACGAACTCTCCTTGTTTGCTCTTTAAATACTGCGCTGAAGGCCAACCGGGGCCTTGATGTTAAATCTCGCAGGAAAAATATACAAGCAGGGCTTTGCTTATTTTACACTGGCTGTGTAAAAGTTTAAATTTAGAG